GTTGAATGGGTTAATTTTTTATTTTTTTTTGGTTAAAATGACACGTGTTGCAAATTAAGTGGTTAAAAAAGATATTAAAAAAACAAAAAAAAAACCAACCAAAACCCCAACCACCTTAGAACTCCGGCAACATGCCACCTCCCCCGCCTTACTCGCCAAATCGTCGTCCCTCCCCCACCACTAGACTCGCCGCTCCGGCGCTTCCCCTAAGCCACAGTCCCCCTCCCCGAAACCCCCACGCAACCACCTATTAAACCCCTCCATCCCCCATTTCGGAAACTTCCAACCACCACTCTGCTTACCCCAAAATCCTAGCGGCTAGGGTTTCGACGTTGAGGAAGTGGTTGTTGGGGGTTTTCGGGAGTGAGGGAGGGGTTTTGAGGGTGTTTCGAATGGTTGGAGGGGTTTAAAGGGAGTTCCGGTTGTGGAGGGCGGAAAACCAAATCGAGAAAGGAGGGGATTGGGGGTGGAGGTGGGTCGCAACACCGGCATAGGGTGTTTGGGGGGGAAAGCGGCGCACTGTTGAGGCAGGGGAAGGGAGGGGTAGGTGCGGCCGGCGGTGGTAGGTGGTGGTGGTGGTGGGGTTACGGTGGTCAGGTAGGGGATAAGGGTTTTCTGGTTTTTTTTAAAAAAAAATTAATTTTTCTGACACGTGGCACATAATCTATAATAACAAGTCATTGACTTTTGTTGACCAGTTTGGGATTGAAGAAAAAGAAGACCCTTTAAAGTTCGGATTATTCCAGTATAATCCAAAGTTAGGATTATTCTGACAAAATTGATGAAAGTTGGGATTATTATTTCTAATTTTTCCTAGATTTAAACCTATTTAGACTAATTTTACTCTACCAATCACATACTTGTAGGACAAAATATAATGTTGATGTTGCTACATGTGAACGGCAAAGCTGTAAGTAGAGCATAATTATCTAATTATTTGCATTGCTTAGGATACTTGCAGTTCATTGTCAGTTTCAGAGTTGGGCTCAGAATCTGATCATCTTGTTTAGGGGACCACTTATACTGTACCAATTGCTAACCATGGAATTTCAATCTCATTTAGAGCTATACTTAAACTAGCATATTCTGTAATTCATTACAATTTTCGAAACAATTTTATCAAATCATCAATTCAAGTATTCAACAATGTATGGTTTGTCTGAAAACAAAGTGTGTGTACTAGTTATTATTTCAAAGAAAAATGTATGCAAAATGTAGGCCTTTAACCTAATACATTATATAATATACACATGGTCAATCCAGGTGTATCGGTTAATTCAAGTGTATCGAATGTACTCGGTACATATATTGTGCCCATTACTCCTCAAAATGATAAGAATGTGTCGAGGCCTCGAGGGTATGGTATGCATAACTACTCATATTACAATTATATTTCCTCCGGTTTTAAATAATTGCTCCACTTTTTATTTCCGGCTGTTTTTAAATACTTGCTCCATTTCCTTATTTGGAAAGCTTTTACCATATTTAATTAATTTCTCTCACCTAGTGGACCCACCATAAATCATATTTTATTAATTTCATATTCTCTCTCTTCCAATTTTCTTCACTATTTTTGCTTTTTACAATTTTTTATTCTTCCACCTACCCCACTACTTACATATTTTATTACTTTCTCCAATTTCTTCTAAAACTCCGCGGATGGAGAAATGGAGCAAGTATTAAAAAACGGAGGGAGTAAATGTTAAAAGACCAACTCAACCAAAATGTTTATCTGATGGTTAAGGCCCTACTCGGCCCTTAATATTTCACTTTGAAAGGAGGGTACGTGAGTATGATTCGAACCCGTGACATTTGTGTCACATTGGTTTTGATACTAAGTTAAAAGACCAATTCAACCAAAAGTTTAAGCTGATGATTGAGATCCATGATTATGTTCTATCAATAAGTAATTATTGCATTAACCAATTACTATAAATCACGATCTATAATTTTTTTCAATAAATATGATCACCATAATAATAATATTCGAAAATTAAAAGTCACCCTTAATGGATCATTAGTAGTATATTTGACAAATTTCATAATTAAATCATATAGAACCACCCCTTATTTGATCATCAAACCTAAAGAGTTTTTCCAGTTATGTACCTGCTCCAATAGATTCCTAATTAGAAATGGCCACTTTGTTTGGTTATTATAACCTAATTAACATCAACAAGCAAGAGATATAATGCAATTATTCACCAAATTTTCTTGTAGAACAAGAACTAATAAAGCAAGTAAATAATATTGTATTCATATTTATATTTTTAAATGTAGTTTTCTATAGAGTCCAACTACTGCATTTCTTGAGATGCTCCAACCTGAATTTGATTAATAAAATGGCCTTATTAATTAATGAATTAATTAAGTCATAATAACCAAACAAAGTGGCAATTTCTAACGGGTAACATTGACCCAATCATATTGATAAATGTGAAAAAGGATCCTCCATTCTTTTATTCGGATCTAGTACATAATACAGACAGATTTGAAGATTGTTCACAGAAATTTGTGTTCTGACTTGACCTGGTCATACGTACGACTCATGCATTTTTAACTATATGAAGAAATTTTTAAATTTTTAATGCCAAGGAAAATAAAGTTTTAACCAAAAATGTACATTATATTAAAAATAAAGTAATAAGATAGGTCAAATTATATAGACTTGGAATCCCAATATCTATATTGTGTGGATTACAAGCCCTAAGCAATTTTATTGCTTTAAAATGTAAGGATTAAGTAAACCTAATCAATGTGGGTGATCCATTACTTATATGCCTAAGAAAGTCTTTTCAGCGAAAATTTGATAGCTAACGTGGTATGTAATTAGTAACTAGTTGTTCTTATTTTTCAATATTCAGTAGTATTGGACTACCTCTATTTGAATTAATATTCCGTATTCTTTTTTGGTAGGTAAGATGAAGGTCTATTAGGATGAATCCCCTTTTGAGTTAACTCGATCTGTATTAGTACGCTGTACACTTGGAGAGTAAGATCAGAGGTAAGGTACAAGCCGGGATCTCCTCTCTTAGAGCATTATTCCTAGTAGGATTGAATAACCAACTTTTAAAGGTTGAAAGTGTCTTCATTTCCACCAAACCAAACTTAACTTAGTTATCGTATCACATCTTAAAAAATTTACTTCATCTCAATTTAGATCACCTTTTCATTGGACATTCATTATAATTTCTTCACATGATGTATACAAAATTCGATCTTAAGTTTTCATTTACATGCGTCCACACATCTTGGCAAATCTAATTTCGGTCATAGCTTGTTTTCTTCCTAGCTAGTATCTAAATAAATGTTTATACTTTATAGTCATCTATCAAATTATTAGTAGCCATTGTGCTCCACAAACTTAATCACATGGTAATTTTAATTTCATTAAATTCTTCCATTAATAAATAATTATTGTATAAATGTGAGGGCAGTTAAACCGAGTCTAGGTATAATTATTGAAGGATGGTAGTTCTAGAGGTTTAGATTATTCTTCAGCTCTAGACTCTAGGCGGTAGGCAGTGCATAGATGAGAACAATTGACTAATTGATTGATTGTGTGCAATCGAATTATTGTGCATTTTCAAAGATACTGATTTTGTAACTTTGACTATATCCTTCCTTAGTCAACAATAAGTGCCTAATTAGTTTGAATAGTTTGAATGTGGTGAATATGTGAAACCTGCAATCCCATTCCTCAATACATTTATGCCAAATTCTTCTAGGGTCGATTCATACCAAACTTTCTTTGAGAGGACTTCAAAGTGAGCTTAGTCTATCCTCAATCATGTAACTATGTAAGTATCCACTCCTATATTGAAAGTCATTTCTATTGTTACAGAAAGTCACCCTGTAATTACATAAAATAAGACAATTTAAAAGCTATATTGAAGCATTTATTATTTGATGAAAGGGGTCTTAGGTGCAAAGTATGTGGCCATTTATTTGTTCATAACTACTCCTTTTGGTAGGAATATGGGTCCTTTTGGTAGCAATGCTAGCCATTCCTTCCTAGCTAATTCTAAGGATCAATTACAAACAAAGATAAAATATAGCGAGAACAGCACAAAACAACCCTCGTAACAAGAACAATACATTTTTTTAAATGGTAAAGAGGACCCTGATCAGACTTCAATCCTCAATGCTTTTATAGCCTAGTATTTACGGACCAGGTACTTGGGAGTAGATGAAAGAATAAGGAAATCCCTATCCTCAAATACTCTCACTTGATGATAAAACAATACATGAAAAGTGATAAAACCACGATGATCTCAAAAAGAATTGAATCAAAACCATACACTTCCACTGCCGAACATAATTATATATAGTGTACTAATTTAAATTAATTAAGCATTATACCCTTCTAACAGTCAGCCCTATGCTTGAATTATTGTTGCTAAGGTGTGCAATCTACCAACCTAACCAAGGTTTATTATTATCTTTTTAAAGGAGAGCTAGGTTACTTGGGAATTTTCTAATTAAACACAATTATTTATATAACAGTAACATTATATTGTATAACAAAGTTTCATATGTAGCTGGTCATATCGTGTGGCCGGGGTTACTTGGTCAGGGGTTATTCGGTTAGCCAGGGGTTATTCAGTTAGGGATTATTCGGTCAGCCTGGGATTATTTAGTCAGGGGTTATTTGGTTGGTCAGGAATTACTTGGTCAGGGGTTACTCGATCAATCAGGGGTCAATCGGTCAGTCAGGGGTTACTCAGTCAGTCAGGAGTTAGTTGGTCTTGGGTTATTCGGTCGGTCAGGAGTAACTTGGCCAGAGGTTATCCGGTCAGTGTTTTTGTGTGTGCCAGCAAGCCACACGGTGTGACCATCCACACAAAAAACGCGCTGGTATTATATATTAATGCGTACAAAATAATTATAATATATACGAGATTTGAATTTCTACGATAGTATTCTCAATACATACTTTACCAGCTAAAATAATTGACATCTGATGTACTAGCACCGATTATATAATACAAGTAACTCTTTTACTTGTAGATACACACTAATCAAAATTCCATACTATCATTATATATTCTCTCACTTTCTTATACACTCTCTTACTCTCTCTTTTCTCTTTGGCAATAATAATGGGTGTGAAGGTGTATGGACTCCCAATATCAACATGCACAGCCACAGTTTTGACTTGTTTGCATGAAAAAGAAGTTGAGTTTGAGCTTCTTCTTGTTGATCTCTTTGTTGCTGAGCACAAACAACCTCCTTTCCTCTCTAAAAATGTAAATCTTTCTTCATCTATCTTTTATATTTACATATTTATATTTATAAATATTACAATATATCGATATATATTTTAGTTTTCATTCACTAGCATTATGACTAATTTTTTTCATTAATATTTTTATCTAGAAATAATGTTAAGTTCATTATTACTATTATCATAAATTTTAGTATTTTAATTTGAAAATTATAACTTTTTAATGAGTTTTATACACTTTATTTGCAGCCATTTGGGCAGATCCCAGTGCTTGAAGATGATGATCTTACTTTGTTCGGTAAGTTTTACAACTAAAGTACTCCATTTTAAGTGAAGTGTTTTGAAATTATTAACTGAAATTATTTATCTAAATATGCCCCCCCCCCCCTTTTTTTTTTTTTTCTGATAAATGAAATATAAATATACTCTATTTCAAAACATAGTATTAACGGAGTATATAGTAATGTAAGTTCTTTCTCATATTTCTTCTTCTTCTTTTTCTTCAAAAAAAAAATAAAAAAAAGAAAAGTTCTTTCTCATATTCAATTACACATTTAAATTTAATTTATTCATATATGAGTAAAACAATACTACAAAGTATATATAATATAATAGTTCGTATTATTTTATTCATGTAGTAAAACTTATGCACTCTACCATCATTATATAAATGTAGCAAAGAAATTACTCTATGTTTATTCAATTGTATATGCCTCTATTAGACTATTATCGTATGGAATTGTATGTCTATAGTAAATGTTTAGTACTTATGTAGCGCAACAAAAGGTATTAAAATGAACATGTGTCAATCCTTACAAGCAATGATCAATTACTTTCGACATTTCATATTAATTATAACATTTTATGTACCATAAAATATTTTAAGTAGTCAAATATTTTCTAAAGAACTGAGTATGTATTAATTATTTGAAAATCTCTATTCTCTAATCATACTTGAAAGTATTGGCTTTTGTTTTCTTTTCTTTTACAATATTATGAATACAAAGAAGCTTTCCTAATTAACTTCAAATAAACACCATTAGAGATATAAGAAGAAGAAGAATTGATTTGATAACCCAACTATGATACTTATCCATTCATAACTACAAGTTACTCTGTATAATAGGACATTGAGAACACATAGATAGCCTTTTCGATTTCATTGTTTTTGTTTTTGCTTTTTTGGGTATGATGTTTATATTTGAGTACTCGTTGTAAAACATGATTGTCTCTTTTCAATTTAACTTATTTTCAAGTATTTTATGAAAAATAAGTTCAAACTATTAAGTTCATATCAAATAAAATTAATTTAGGAAAAATAAGTTGTGATAAGGGTTAATAAGGTTATCAAAGTTCAATTTACAATAACCGAAATAAGTTCTAATAAGGTCTAGTAAGCTCAAATAAGTTCATATTTGTAAATCAAGTGAATAGAACACACCCAAGATGTTTAATATTACTACTTTTAGCTACTTTTTTCGTAACGCTTACTTTGATCTATCCCTAATTTAATCTGAATCCTAACTTCTCATCTTGTTTCCATTGTCATATACTAGAATCTCGAGCAATCTCATCATACATAGCAGAGAAATACAAGGACAATGGAACAACAGATCTCCTAAGACAAGGAGACCTAAAAGAAGCAGCAATAGTTAAAGTATGGATGGAAGTAGAAGCACATCAATACAACCCTGCAATTCAACCAATCATATACCAATACTTTGTGGCTCCAATACAAGGCAAAACTCCTGATCAAACAATCATCGACGATAATCTTGATAAACTTGGTAAACTACTTGACATCTACGACGAAAAGCTAAGGTCTACCAAGTACTTAGCTGGGGATTACTACACCTTAGCAGATCTTCATCATCTTCCTTACACTCATTATTTCATGACTACTCCTTTTGCTACGTTAATTGATAGCCGCCCTAATGTTAAGGCTTGGTGGGAGGATATTTCTTCTAGACCGGCTTTTAAGAAAGTTTCTGAAAATATGAAATATGGGGAGAATTAAATTAGTTATAATACAAAGTTTGGGGGAATTTAATTATTTCTAAGAACAATTGATTTATACTTGTTTAAGTGAGTAATGTTGAGATGATCTAATGAATGTTGCAAATTTTTGTTTGGTAAAATGTAAACTTTTTTTTTTTTTTTTTTAAATATAATTTATAGTTTAATGTTGTTATTAATTACTTTTATTTCTCTTTGATTTCATAAATAAATATACCTACTTTGGTTGAATGATTAATTGTACCATAGTTTTATTTTCATATTTCATATGTACCCAGCTTTTGATGTACCCATCTGCTTTTTTTTAGGATAATAAACATGAATCTATAGTCGTCATCAATATATTTATTTCCGTATTATAATTTTTATTAGAGGTTATGTTTGGAGACTACATATTAAAACGACTTTAACAAGACCCTAACTATGTTTTTCCATTGCATGTTGGTGAATAATTGTGGTCGAACTTTACACTCTTTAACCAAGAGTACAATAAATGGTTACATCATTAAAAAACGTAGTATATACATCTTATACCATACTTCAATTTGTATCAAACTACCAAACTATGACATAAAGGGATTGTATTTCAATTTAATATTGCACAAGATTACAATTCAATTTTGACATTGCGTTTACCCAATTAATAATTCAAAGGAGATCATAAGAAAAATATGGAGTATGAAAGATGATAGAATACATTAATACGAATTTGAATCCAATAACAGCTTATTTGATTATTTATTTATTTATTTTAATCATAAGGATTAGTGTACAAATAAGTTCCTCACATCTAAGAAGCAGATCAGATAAGGTAAACCAAATGTAGCTTAAATATATTTAAACTCTGTGCTAAATTTAATTAAGGAGCTTAGTGTCGTTTAGTTAGGGAACGTGGGCTAATTCATTGAGTGAGTTGGGCTTGGATTAAATGATGGAAATACATATTTTAATTAATGGGTAGGATAAATAAAATGCCACGGATTTGGGCCAATTTAAGAATAGGCTAATCTTAGGATTTAAAGATTGGGTAGTTGGGCTAATATAACTCTTTAATTGTAGGAGGGAAAAATAAGAGAATCCCACCACAAAGTTTGTTTAATGGAGTTTGAAACCACATATGCAAATAAACTTTTTCCGACCAAGCCTTGTTTGGTATAATCAAACTTAAATTGGGTGATACAATTAAGAATTAAGGTGTTTCTTCTATCTACTCATCATGATTTCAAAATGGTGTTTTTTGGTTAACATAAAAAACAATCACGATAACATACAAATTATCATGGACTGAATTAGACTGGACCAAAGGCCGGAATTTTAAAATTCAAGAATCGAAGACCAGACTAATTTTTAAGGAGTTTTAGATCGGACTAGTTTAAAAATTATATATCTTGATTTATTTTTCTATACTTTTAATATTTTTTATCATAATATGAAAACAAGAAAAATATATATAAGAAAAATGATTATTCAATATCTATTTTGAACACCTAAAATGAAATAGCTCATAATATAAAAATATTTGTAGCATATAAAACGTAAAAATCAAAGATAATAAAGGTTTTAACGATAATACTTTTAAAACAATAACCGGTTAGGTTCAAGACCGATTTTTAAAGGGTTATAGACTAGACCGAACTATACCAGACTGGAGATCTTTTTAAAATTTCTCGATCTAGAGATTGGACTCGGTTTTCACGGTCCGATCGGTCTATTTTTCCGGCCAGACCGAATTATGAGCACCTTTACTAGTCTAATCCACTACTACTTTTTTTATTTTTTTATTTTTTTATATTATTATTATATTTCTATGCCTTATCATATTCCTTTTTTTTCAATAAAATATATTAGTTTCACTATATATCTTATAATTTTAGGAAAGATTTTCCAATTGCAGCCATTCAAAGTTTGTATTTTGCAAATTATAGCCATTTAAAAAAAATCGCAAATTGCAGCCTAAACTACTAATGACTTGTTCTGCCATTTAAAAAAAAATTGCAAAATTATAGCCGAAAATTACTAATAACTTGTTCATTGCCACCCAAATCAATTTTTTCTTCGATTTACATGCTGAAAATGTTCCTTAAAGGTCTTAGGAGTCGCTTTAGTGTTTTAGGGTCCGAATTGAGCTCGGAATTGGCAAAAAATTAACATGAGCGCATCGATTTACGTATCAAAAAATGTATAGATTTGTGTGCAATTTTTTTTACTGTGAAAACGAGGCACTCACGTTAAATTTTTGCCAATTCCAAGCTCAATTCGGTTTCTTAAGGACTAAAATAACCCCTAAATCCTTTACAGAATATTTTTAGCACGCAAATCGATGAAAAATTAATTTGGGTGGCAATTTACAATTTATTAGTATTTTTGGCTACAATCATAGTTTGCAAAATACAAATATTAAATGAATGCAATTGGTAAATTTTTCCTAAATTTTTAATTACCCTAACTACCCACATACATTTTTTTATCTTCAAGTTAATTATTTCGCCTAAAAATATGTGTCGGTCAAAGTGTAACACTTAAAAAAATGACGGGAGCAAGAAAGCTATCATGATTCATGGCAAAAGTGAAAATGACCTAAACAAAATTTCTATGCATTCAATACTTTTTTTAGGAATTATGGACAAAATAAACTCGTTGAAACTATTATAAAATATCACATGAAACATTAATCCGATTTGACAACTCTACAAATTATAACGACATAGAATAAAAACCTACTAGATATATAGTTTAAACTCCAAAACATTAACCATCAATAAGAAGGAAAAAAAAATGAAAAAAAAAAGCTTTTTTGTTTTTTTTCCCTCACTTGGATTCGTTCAAAAGTCAACGAAAATGAACGTAGTCAAGATGTGCACTCCCCTAGTTTGTTCCTTGTTAATTCATGTATCGACTACACATTCAACAAAAAGCCATATTAAACAATTGTGGAATGTATATATGTAGTGACTTGCTCGTTCTATAAATTCAACCTCAAATTGTAGCGTTTCTTAGCAATCCTTCTTCTATCATCATCTTCTTCTTTTGTTGTCTAATTTATTTCTATCTTCTCCTTAAGTTCTCTATTTCTCCTCTTACTAGTCTAAGATAAGCCATGGGGATCAAGATTCATGGAAGCCCTTTCTCCGGTGCCACTCTTCGTGTCGTGGCTGCCGCTAATGAAAAGGAACTAGATTTTGAATTTGTTCACGTCGACATGAGTGTTGGTGCTCACAAGCAACAACCTTATGTTGCCCTTAACGTAAGTTTATCACTTAACATCATTTGTTAACTTGCAGTCCTGTACTATTCTTTTGACTAGTATTGTTATTTTTTTGTTATTTAACTTTAAATTTTCGAATCAATTTCTTACATCTTGGTGATAAAATTACGTACATTAAAAAAATGTCATCTAATAGATGTAATTATAAACTTGAGATTGAAAATGATTTGTTCTGTGGAAATCTCACAATCATTGGAATTATATAGCTTACTTTTTTAAGGTAAAATATATGTAAGTCACCAAAGAATCAAAGTTAATTTTTTTCGTTTTATAAATGTATGTTAGTTATAGCATTACTTTGATTGGAGTACACAATAGTTGACAATGATTGTTTCATTGATCAATAATTGACCATAATGTATTGTAGTCAAATACATGTTAATATAGCAGAACTTTTTGGGTCAAACATTTTGATCAAATAATCAGCTCAAAAGTAGATCACCGGGTGCTATAGCTAATCATTGTAGTGATTTTACACTAATTATGTAAAATTTTTAATTTATTTATCTTATCATATAATTTCAGCCATTTGGTCAAGTACCAGCTTTTGAAGATGACGATCTCCAGCTATTTGGTAAGTCAACTCGTATATATATTTAATTAAGGCTTCGTTATGTTCACTTTTTGAATAACTATTTTAGTGAGGTAACTTCTTAGTCTCATTCACCACAAGGCCCAAAACGTTAACAAAAGATCATTTTTGGCACAATAGCAACAATCAATAATATGCATTATTCAATAATATTGTCAAGTAAGAACGTTTCTAATTAAATTTTTTTTCATATCAAACAGAATCAAGAGCAATTACAAAATACATAGCATACGCCTATGGAAGCAACGGCAATGCATTGGTATGTGAGGATATGAAGCAAAAGGCGTCCCAAGCCGTATGGATGGAGGTTGAGGCTCACCAATTCGACCCACCAGCTAGCAAACTGATGTGGGAGCTTGTGTTCAAGGGCATGTTTGGCATGGAAGTCGACATGGCTATAGTCGAGGAGAACGAGGCTAAGTTGGCTAAGGTCCTAGATGTTTATGAGGCTCATTTAGGTCAGTCCAAGTATATGTGTTGTGAAACATTCTCCTTGGCTGATCTTCATCACTTGCCTCAACTTCATTTTCTAATGGGCACCCAAGTTAAGAAGATTTTCGACGAACGCCCTCATGTGAGTGCTTGGTGCACAGATATCTTGGCTAGGCCAGCTTGGGTTAAGACAATAGCCTTGCAGAACCAAGCTTAGGCAAGCTTAAGATCAAGAACCAAGCCAGTATTTTGTGTTTGTTACCTTGTTTGTTTGTATTGATTTGATTTTATAATTTTGCTATTGAATTTCTGTATTCCATCTTTATCATTTTAATTAATAAGAGTACTAATTGCCTGAGTTTTGCTATATACTTCCATCATTCCAAAAAATTGTTGTGATCTTAAATTTAAACTCTCACCAATATTACTACAAAAAAATAGACATTTAGCAACAGATCAAATCCGTTGCTAGATTGAACTTTTCTGTCGCAAAATATAGGTAGCGACAGATTTTGAAACGAAATTACTCCGTTGGCAAAACTATTGTCGCTAAATGAGATTAGCGATGTTGTATTTGTTTTCCGTTGCTGAACTTAGCAACAGATTTTTATTTCCGTCGCTAGTTTTAGCAACGGATTTTTTATTTCCTCTAAATTTAGCAATAGAAAAAATTATTTTGTGTCTAAAAGTAGATGCTATTCGGTTTGACCTCACTTGGGTCAACCCGACTCGGCTTTGCATGTAAGGTTCCTTGAATCTCCAATCTCAAGATTCGCAATAGGTAGGAGTCGTACCCGTGACCTCAAAGTCACATAGTGAAACTCTTACCAACTATACTAAATAATATTTGTTTACTTCTACGCACGTAATTGATAATAGCTACGTGAAAGAAATATTAGAGACATAATTTATAATTTGTCTCTAGTTTAGAAACGGATTTTCAAATCTATATCTAGTTTAGAGACAGATTTTCAAATCCGTCTCTAAACTGAAAATCCGTTTCTAGTTTAGAGATGGATTTTAGTTTATTTAATTCGTCCCTAAAGTAATATTTTACATAATTCGTTTCGAAAATAATTTAGACGGAATTAAAAATCCGTCGCTCATATCAACAACGGAAAAAAAAAAAATCCGCCTCTAATTTAGCAACGGAAAAAATAAAAATCCGACTCTAAATTTAGCAACGGAAAAAAATCCGTTTCTAATTTAGAGATGTATTTTCAATTCCGTTCCTAATTTAGAGACGGATTTTCAATTCCGTTTCTAATTTAGAGACAAATTTTTTTAATTTTGTCTCTAATTTAGAAACGGATTTTTTTAATTCCGTTTCTAAATTAATTTAGAGAAGGATTTTTTTAATTCCATCTCTAATTTAGAAACGGATTGAATTTTGTTGCTAGAATTCCGTTTCTATATGGACATTTTTTTTGTAGTGTATATAGCGCAAAAAATAATTATGTAAAATCTCATGAGATTTTTGTCCATATAAATCAGAGATATTGATAGCCCAAGTTATGCAATAGTAGGAGGATGTGAAAAACAAATGTTGCAATTATTTTGACATGCAAGAAATCTGTGTGAAATTAGAAGGAATCAATTTTTTGATATTAAATTGACACGTGTAATTGTTAGTTGATTTTTTATTTTATTTACAATTCGAGTGGTGAAATCAATTTCGTGGATCAGTATCAATTTGGGTCTTAACAAGTCGAGTCATATTAGTTCACGATTATCTAAAAAGTTAGATATAATTTATTTTAAATAACAAACCCCCTATTCACCCCTTGTCATTGAATTTCCGGAAAGCATTTTCTTTGTTCACAAAATGACAATCTCGGCCTCTCGGGTGCATCTTGATTCTTTGGATATATACTGATTCAGAATTTTCCCAAGGAGGTCTCTGGGAACTATGAACTTTGATGATTCTTTTTTGACAATACTGCTTCTACAGGAGTTGTCATTGGATAGTTGCTTGTAAAACCTTATGACCTTAGTTTTTGCTCTCTCTTCTTGGTTGAAGCAATTGCTTAGTTTTTTCGTATTGTACTTTTACTTCCTTAACGCCTTAGGCCGTGTGCCCGTGTTTGGTGAATAGTTGGAAACTAAAAAAAGATCGTGTTAGTTAATATTAACTAGTTGCTTGTATTCAAACTAGGTTCATAATAATAAGATTATGTTTGTTGCCAACTAATTTAGCTACTGAAATATATGACCAGCTTCTACGTATTGAAAATAACATGGCTAATTCCTAGGAGAAGGCTAAGCTACATGGTTCGTCCTCCTATGAATGCTCATGTGAAGCACTTTCTTTTTTTTTTTTAGGCTTAACCAAAGTTTTTAATGGATTGCTTTAAGTGAGCTAGCTAACTGATTGTATACAATCATCAATCAATCAATAATCAATAACTTAATACTAAAACAGACACCGGAAGTGACACGTATCACACTGTTTTTTCCCTCCAAAACTCACCTTTCCTTTTTAACCCTTTTTTTTTATTTATTTTTTTATTTATTAATATTTGATTCTTTCTATAATAATATCATTCCAAATTTTTTATATTATTTTTATGACAAATATATTCCATTTTACTAAGTGTTCATAATTTTTCTATATACATTTACCTAAATAGTTATTCCAACTTCTTTTTAATTATCTTTGAAATCATCAATAACTTAATACTAAAACAGATACCGGAAGTGACACGTGTCACATTATAGTGCTGTTTTTTCCCTCCAAAACTCACTTTCCTTTTTAACCCCCCTTTTTTTTTTTTTTTTAAATATTTGATTCTTTCTATAATAATATCATTCCAAATTTTTTATATTATTTTTATGACAAATATATTTCTTTTTACTAAGTGTTCATAATTTTTCTATATACATTTGCCTAAATAGTTATTCCAACTCCTTTTTAATTATCTTTTAAATGGAGTATTATAATATTTTGCCAAAAATGTAATGATAAATTGATTCATATAATAGATGTTGAAGAAATTACTTTAAAACATCACTTAATTTTTTGTTTATTTAAATACCTCTAGCTAATATTATATTTCAATTTTAATATAACTATATATTCAAATTAATTACAATTTTGTTTCTGAAATTTTACTACTGCGTATATATTATCACAAATTAAGAATTTATTGAGTATAGTTCCCCCAAGCTAGACCTTTGCTCGTCCTCGAGCAAAGCTAAAGGCAAAGAAGATTGAGAAACGATTATCCAAACACAAGCAATATAAATAAAAATAAAATAAAATAAAATAAAATAAAATAAAATAAAAAGAGGGGGGGAAGGAATTTACACTAACTCACTTTCGTAGGAATCACGGTTGTTTTTAACATAAACAACAAGCCATTTAAACCTCAAAGTCGCCAATGAGGACGAGTATGCTCTCGTGGGGGTTTCCAAAGAGTTTAACCCACAACTCTTGGCGACATGCTCAAGACAAACCAAAACAAAGGAGCAAATAAAGAAGAAAATCAACTACAAACAAGCATAGATGGATGACAATCTTTCTAGGTACTAAGAGTAAACACATTTTTGGATGCCAATGGTTGATTGAAAGATAAGTTATTCTAAGCATAGAGAACTCTAATATGCTCCACTCCACCCGCATTCCATACATTCTTACCGCGTTCCCTCATCTGGATTCAAATCCACCCTTCAAGGTAGTATCTCATGACTCCACGAAGGAGCCGGAACAAATGAAACAAGGGTGACCCGACATCTTACCAAGTCATGCTCTCTCCATATGCTTGAAATCTAGCTCCCTCCACCGACTAGTGACTCAACCAATCCAAGTTAAAAGGACTTAGGGTTGTAATGCAGGCTAGGAGGTAAGGGTGAGGAAAGAAATAAATAAATAAATAAATAAAATAAAATAAGTATATATGAAAATTTGGTGGTAAATCCTAATTGTGAAGCAGAAGATGTCGCCAATTCTCATAACAAAGTAGAATATCACCAATTTCCAAACAAAATACATCTTCCCCCAGGCGGTATTTTAGGTCGTCACTAAGACACCTCTATCAAATGATATTTGTAGTCCTAAACATGCAACTAAAAGAGTATAGAGGCAAGTTAAGGGTCGAACACAGGGAAACGATTAAGCACCGCTATTTATCTCCTAATGTTAATCTAATTCGATCAAGAAGTGTGGTGGGTAAAGTAATGACTAAAGGGGATAGAACAACAATTAAAATAGGTACTAGGGGGAAGGATCAAACATGCTTTGATTTCAACGAAGTTAGGCATCGGAAAATAGGTTTACATGTAACCCAAGCGACTCATACAAGGCAATATCAAGAATACTCTCTAATCACCTATCGGGATTAAGAGCCTTCCTAGCTAACATACGCTCACACTATCGTCGTAAGGCATACAAGCTAAGGTCATGCAATAATCAATCACCTAATGACTATTCCTAAATCGCACTATCGTCACGATTTAGTTCACGTCATTCAACCACAACATGCATATGGCCATAAACATGGAGTGACTAATAAGTATAAGCACAAGGAAGATTTAATCACAAATATTCCAAATTAACCTAGCCTAACATACATCAAACTCAAAGTATATCTTCACCAAACCCCTAGCAACAAGAAACTACTCACTAGTCATAACTACAACTACAATCATGCTAAGCAACATTATAACCAATGAAATGGTAAGAAAGACAAAGTTTTTATCAACTAAATTAACAAGAGTAGAAGCTTTAATCATAAAGCAAGAGACAATAGAGAAATATACCAAAACCTTCATTGAAATCCAAATAAAGAGCCACACATCATTCAATCTTCAATCTCTAAGCTTGACCATACATCAATGTTGCAAAATTACTTCTTCAAAAACTAAAAGTAAAACTAATGTTGATAGACAATGAGAATTACACTAAAAGCTATATGATTGTTCAATACAAAATTTTTCTAAAACAAAGACCTAGAAATTGATATTTTTGAGCTCTCTCCTTGGGTTTCTATGCTAGTTTTTTTTTTATCTTTTCCTCCCCCCTCAGCCGTTTTTGCCTTTTTTTTTCTTTTAACTTGGGCTGAAATCGGGATTTGAATCAGCAGCAGAGAGGCGCGCCCGCGCCCAACAGTGGCGCACCCGCGCGTTAAATGATGGCGCGGCCGCTCCTAGAAATGCGCGCCCGCTCCAAAGAGGGTATTTAATGGTTGATCCCGCTCATCAGCGCGCCCGCGCTCTATAGATGCGCGCCCGCTCCTTTGGTTGCGCGCCCGCGCCATTCGTCTGGTTTGGATTTCTTCCTGTTTTGCCCTTATCCCTTCCATCTCTGAATCAACAGCATACGCCTGCAATCATGGAACAGGAAGGCAAGGCGTGATACAACGAAAGGGGAGGGGAGTATAGACTACCTAAACCACATGAATACACATTACGCGCCACAAAGGTAGAATACTCGAAATAGGAGGATCATAGCAAAAACATACTAAAATGAACTGAATTATTACTAAAACTACTAGAAAAGACTATCCTAAGAGCGACATAAATGTCACTCATCAATAGTATAACTATAAAATAAATGTTATATTTGACAATTATATCATATGTCTAATTCTAGGGAAAGGTAAAATATCAACTAATTTCTTTTATAAATTAGGTAATAAAAAATTCACTATTTTAGTAAAAGCAAAATTATTATCTTTTGCCGAGACACTTGATTGAGATGATAAATTTATTACATTCGATATTCATAAATAATTTGCATACTAAAAGACACGTCAGACGTAGTGACAATTGACATCTCCTTTTGTATTTTTTTTTGATATATATCTATTATCTACAATTAAACTTTTAAAACAATAAACAAAAATGATTAAACTACAACTATTGGTTAGCTTCAAACACATTTTTCTATAGCAACAAAGAATGACGATATTGTATATGTAGAGCATCAATCTATAAACTAAAAATGTAATAATATAGATTAGTGTTGCCCAATTATTGATTGTTCTTGATTGCCTTCAATGATATGAGTAGAATTTATTTCCATTGCAATGATTTTTTAGATATAAAAGGTGAAATATGTGTGTGTGTGCGTGTGTGTGTCATCTATCCAAATACAAGACACTACTACACATTGGCCTACATATATTACTACCCCGTTTGTCATTATTTGCAATAAAAAAAAAATTATGTCATACAAATAATACCTCTTAATTTATTGTAAATAATGAGAAATAGAGATAATATTTTTATTTAAGTTATTTTCCATAATTGGTTTATATATATATATATGAAAACATTAATTACTAATCAAAAGATTTCAATATGATTTAATGCAAAGAATGATATAAATTATACTTCATTTGTCTGAAAATAGCTCGAACTCTTTATTGGGCGTAAAGTTTGAGTTGATAATTTGTTGAGACGTTATTAAGTACTTGTATTGTTTAATAAAAAAATTGGATGAAATAGATGAAAGTGGTGTCTTGTTTTTGTTGTTGAAAAAGTCGATGTAGTAGAATATAGAGTATTATTATTTTTTAATTAGTAGTTGGGTTGAATGCGATGGAGAGTGATACTTTAATTTTTGATAGAACGTGGCCTGGAACAAGAGTTGTATTAAAATAATAGCAGAGTTGACCTTAGATATTTAAGGTAGGGCTGTTAAATTGATTGTGTCATGTCGGGTTCGTATTCATGTCAATATTAAATGGGTTGATAAAACTCTTGATCAATATCTAACCCATTTATTAAACAGGTTGAAAACCCTTAACCCAAACCTAACCCGTTTATTAAATGGGTTATCCGGGTAACCTTTTACCCACTTATTTTATTAATTCATACAAGACATTATATATAGTTTAGTACTTTATAAACTAATTAATATTCATGTTTAAAATTAAAAAAACACATATTTTATTTTATAAAATAAAATTGAAAAAAAAATAGTAGAAGGTCAGGGTGAAGGCAAATTAAAGTTGCATAAGATATGAGAGAGGGTTACTAAGGGTAAGTCAAGATTATAGATGACTTTAAAGTGAAAGAGTAAACAAAAAATTTGCCCGCCAAAAGTTTTTACTAAAATATTTATGTACATTCAAATTATGTAGTTAGGAGGGTTAGTGAGATTGGCATAGAAAAATTCAATTATTTTGACTACTTCAATAGATAATTTAAACATGTCGGATTCAGGTTAACGGGTTAACGTTCAACCTATTAATATGATTGGGTTATGCGTGTCGGTTTCGGGTTGAAAATTTCAACCCAAATCTGACCTGTTTAAAATTTTGTGTCAGGTTCGTGTCGACCTAATTACTTAAACGGGTTGAGAATTCTTGACCCAAACTCGCTTATTTCGTGTTGGGTTTGTGCCGTGTCAGTTCTTGACAACCCTAATTAAAGCTTTCAAACTAATCTAGTATGGATGAATTGAACAAGTATTCAGACTATTTAGGACAACAAAAAGTCCCCATATGTGGCTGGCCGTGTGGCCAGGGTTACTTATTAAGAGGTAACTACTAACCGATCGAGTAACCCTTGACTGTGTAACTCCTAACTGACCAAGTAACCCCTAATCGACCAAGGAACCCTTAATCGAGTAACCATTGACCGAACGTGTAACCCCTGATCAAGTAACCTCTAACCGACCAAGTAACCCATGACCGACCAAGTAACACCTAATCGAGTAACCCTTGACCGAACGAGTAACTCCTGACCGACCAAGTAACCCCTAATCGAGTAACCCCTGACCGACCGAGTAACCCCTGACCGATCGTGTAACTCCTAACCGACCGTATAACCCCTGACAAATAATCCCTGATCGAGTAACCTCTGAATAAGTATAAATATTGTAAAGTGAAGGTATTTGGAGATGGTAATCCCTCTAATCCCACTTATCTAGAGTCTAATCATAGTCTTTCTCAGAGAGGCATCATGGATTTCATGGCTTTCCATATCATTCGTAAATTAAATGTGAAAATTGACCTTCATCAATGATTTCATGCATCAAATTTGACACTTGGTTTGAATGCAAGGAAATGGAGGCCGGGAGATGAAGGGAAGGAAAGGAAAATGGAGAGATGAATTATTATCTTTCATTTAGATAACAAATGATGAAGGATGAGATTTGGATAGGAGAGAAATGGAGAGACGACTAAGTAGTAAGAAATTTATCTCTCCAACAATAATAATGGATATAGTTTATTGAATTTGTATGTGGGTAATCCGGCGGTATTTGTGGGTATTTCGTGGGTATTTCATGGGTAATCCGACATTGTTGCGGTCTTTATGGTCAAATTCGACCATAAAAATTCTAGATCTGGAGTTTTTATGGTCGAATATATCCATTTAAACCTTAAGTAGATGAAATTGAACCATAAAAATAAATCAAAGGTATGTTTAGTTTTGGTTAATTTCGTGTTGATTTTTGCTTTACTTAGTTGATTTTGTTTTTGGTATGTTCGTTATTTGTGTTGATTTTGGTTATTTTAGCTGATTTTGGTTCGTTTTAGTTGATTTTGGCTCATTTTAGTTGATTTTCGTTGATTTTGTGGGATTTTTTTATTGGGTTGTTTTTGTGGGTTAATTTTTGTGTATAATTTGATGTGGGTTTTGCTGATTTTTTGGAGTTTAGGTCGAATTTTACCAATTTTTGCTTTAAATTTGGAGTAATTTTTCATGTATTTTTGTTTTTTCTTTAATTTTCGTGGTTGTTTGGTTAAATCTTATTCTTGGGTATATGTTTGATTTTTCATAATTTTTTGTTGTTTTTGGTAGATATTATAGTTATGATAATATTTGTTGCAGATTATTAGGATAATATTTGTATATATTCTGTATCCTTATCGTACTAGGAGTACGAGTCTTGTAAAAATCTATATATATTGATCAATGGTACACACTCCAGATTGAGGAGTTTTCCCGAAATCCAACATGGTATCACAGCTCTAGGTTTTGATCCCAAAAAAAAAAAAAAAAAAAATTACGATCTTTTTTGTCTTTCTCATTTTTTTTGTGGACTTGTGAACGTTTCTTACATCACCTAGCTTCCGCACTATTTTTCCTCCATTAGCAATATCCGATTTTCATCATGACTAAGGATGATCAAAACAATGATTCTGTTCCTCCAACTAATGAATTTCACCCAGCCCTTTCCGTGACCAACATAAAGAATCATATCCCTTTAATTCTTGATCGAAATTCCGCCAAATACTCAAATTGGGAGGAACTATTCGAGGTTCATGCTCACGCATGTGCTCGATCATATTAGCTCCAAAACGCCTCGTCCAATCGGGATCTCTGACTCCCTATGGCAGCGGCTTGACTCCATTGTTAAGTAGTGGATCTACGGCACAATCTCGACCGATCTTCTTGACACGGTTCTTTGCGAAGGTGATACAACTCAACAGGTGTGGGACAAAATCAAGGCCATATTTTAAGACGATAAAGCGACTCGGGCTCTTTATCTTGAAAAACAATTTACAGATTGCCATCTTTCGTCTTTCTTGGATATCTCTTCCTACTGCAAACAGCTCAAGTGCCTCAAAGATCAACTTGCGAGTGTTGACCACCCGATTTCTGAGAAGATGTTCGTGATGTGTCTCATAGCCGGTCTTCGCAATACTGACTTTGACATAGTGGCTTCGATTCTGGCTCAAACCGAACCGCTACCAAGCTTTGAAACACCGAGATCTTGTCTTCTTCTTGGGGAAACAAGGTGCTCCAATGACCAAACCAATTCGGCCCAATCTTTCATTACACAACAATCGAATTCGGGATCCTCTGGTCAATCGCACCAATCACCGACGTCTGGCAGCAACTTGGCAGCGGCGGCTCCGGTGGTCGTGGCTCTGATCGCGGCTTAGGCAGAGGCACTAAGGGCGGCTTAGGCCATGGTCTTGGCAAAGGCAGGGGACAGCCTTCGGCGAAGCAACCTCACAACACTTCGCAACAGGGGACTCAACAAGGACCTCAACAAGGAGCCCCTCAATGGGCTGACCCACAATAAGGCCAATATGCTTGGCCACCTCCCTGGTATTTCACTCAAAGGTGGGCTACCCCCCCTTTCCTCACTTTAGGCAGTAGGCCTCCAATGGTCAAGCCCAATAGAACTCGGCACCTCAGGCTCAACAGCAAGCATACGTGGTTCTTCCTACTGGTTATGGTCCTCTCATGACTCCTACGGATCTCGGGAACGCCTTGTCCACCATGACCTTGGCACCCCCCGAATTATGGATGGTATATGGACTCAGGCGCATCTTCCCACATGACCAATAACTCCAGTAATCTCTGGCCCTTATTTAATTTAAGAAATAATAATTATATTTTAGTTTGCAATGGTCATCGTATTCCAATTACCGGTTATGGTCACAAAACCCTTTCCCCAACCAATTTAGCTCTTCGAGATGTCCTTTTAGCACCTCAAATTATTAAGAACCTAATTTCTGTTCAAAAATTTACTTCTGATAATTAGGTGTCTATTGAGTTTGACCCTTTTGGTTTTTCTGTGAAGGATCTTCGAACGGAGAAAATAATAACGAGATGCAATAGTTCGGGGGATCTTTTTCCTATCACTAATACCCATCCATCTACATGCTTAGCCACCTACCTCACAGCCGCTTCACCAACCACTTGGCATAGTCGCCTAGGGCACCCTGGGGCTTCTTTTTTATGCTTTCTTAGGAGTAGAAATTTTATTTATTGTAATAAGAAGCATGACTCCACCTTTTGCAGTTCTTGTCAAATTGGGAAACATACTAGACTTCCTTTCTTTACTTCTAATAATACTACTAATTGTGCTTTTGACATTATTGATGCCGATATATGGACATCCCCCATCCGTAGTATTAATGTTCATAAATATTATTTGATTTTGCTTGATGATTATACTCACTATGTTTGGACCATCCCCCTGGCTTATATATCTCAAGCTAATAATACCTTTTTGGATTTCCGTCAATATATTCAAACTCAATTTGAACGACCTATAAAGTCTTTTCAAAGTGATCATGGACGTGAATTTGACAATGACCCATTCAAACTCTTTTGTGTTAAAAATGGCATGGTGTTTAGATTCTCTTGTCCCCACACTTTATCCCAAAATGGTAAAGTCGAGAGAATGATCCGAACTGTAAACATTGTCAAGCGCACTCTATTATTCCATGCTTCTCTACCACTGCCATATTGGGTCTATGCTCTTGAAACCGCAACTTATCTTCTCAATATTTTGCCCACAAAAAACTCTCAATAGCATAACCCCGACCCAGGCTCTTTATGGAATAATTCCATCCTATGATCATCTTAGAACCTTTGGTTGTCTATGCTTCCCAAATATATCTGCTACTACTCCGCACAAGCTTGCTCCCAAATCCTCTCCGTGTGTGTTTTTGGGTTACCCCCCAAATCATCGTGGTTATAGGTGTCTTGATCTCTCTATAAATAAAGTCATCCTATCCCGTCATGTCACTTTTGACGAAACCAATTTTCCTCATCGAAGCTTGGGTCAATACAGTCTTAAGGATTACAAGTTCTTAGGTGAAAGTGAAACTTCTCCACTTCTCACTCACTACCTTATGCGTTAAACCCATCAGTGCACACACACTCCTTCACCCAGTCCGAGCCCAAAAACGCGAGGCCCAAATAACCAGTCCACACAAGTGCCCGCTGGAAACCCAGTGTACCAAACAGTAGCGCCGGTCTCCAGCTCAGCAGGCCTTGGGCTTGTTGGACCCTCACATGCTGCCCGACCTCCAGCCCAGCCCAATCAGCCTACTCCTCACCGCAGCCCACTACCAGCTTAGCCCAACCGATCCACACCTCTCCTCATCGCAACACTGACCCAATACCATTTAACATTTCTTCCCCCAAATGCGAACCCGTTTAATTAAGCCACGGTATTTTCAAACCCAACCCCAAATATGCCATGACCACTCAAACCACTAAACCAATCACTCATAAATCCCCATTACCCAAATCATATAAACAGGCCTTAAATGACCATAATTGGAATGCGACGATGAATGATGAATTTAGTGATTTGATTAAAACAGGGACTTGGGACTTGGTGCCTAGGCCTACGGGGGTGAATATTGTTAATTGTATGTGGTTTTTTAAGCATAAATACAAGTCTAATGGTAACCTTGAGAGGCACAAAGCTCGTCTTATATCTAATGGCAGGTTGCAGGAAATTGGTGTGGACTGTGATGAGACTTTCAGTCCGATAGTTAAACCGGCCACTATTTATACCGTTCTTAGTTTAGCCATCACTAAAAAGTGGTCGATTCATCAACTAGATGTCAAAAATGCCTTCTTACATGGTGATTTACAAGAAACAGTTTATATGCATCAACCCCCAGGTTTTGTTGATCGGAGCAGCGTGCACCCTCTTATGTTTGCCGGCTTCGAAAGGTTCTCTATGGTTTGAAACAAGCTCCTAGAGCTTGGTTTCAGCGGTTTGCGAACTTTCTGATCAAATTGGGTTTTGTCGTTACTAAGAGTGACACTTCTTTTTTTACTTTCCGACAAGATGATGATATGGCATATTTGCTTCTTTATGTTGATGATATTATTTTAACGACCTCACACTACTAGAAAACAGGTCAATTTTCCGTCGGAATCACCCTGAATTCCGTCGGAAAATCGTTTTTCGACGGAATTTCTGAATTTGCGTCGGAACCAGTTGTCGGAAAACCTTTTGTAGGAAAAACGACCTTTTCCGACAGAATTTCCGTCGGAACCGGTTGTCGAAAGAGGAATTTCGGCACTAGAAATGTCTGTCGGAAATTTCCGACGGAATACAAATCCGTCGGAAACTGGTGCAATCTTAAAAAAAAAAACAGGCCGTGCCGGTAAAAAACAGGCCGCACCACCACCGGCACGGCCTGTCACCACCTTCAGCCACCCAAAAACCCATTATCAACCCCACTTTCACCCCACCTAACCCGAACGCACCCAAACTAAACCCTAACGCACCACCACCACCCCAACAACCCTAACAACACTACTACAACTCTCACCGAACCACCCTACCACCCATCTTAACCGAACCTGACCCTAATCCTAACCAAACCGAACCCATCCCACCTAACCCTAACCAAACTGAACCCACCCCACCTAACCTTAATGCACCCAAACTAAACCCAGATCTATCTAAACCACCCAACTAAACCCAAATCTAAAACCACCAAAACTAAACCTAGATCTAAAACCACCCAAACTAAACCCAAACTAAGCGGACTACCCCACCACCCACCGGTCCATCGCAATTACTCGAATACAAACCACCCACCACCACCGCAGTTTTCCTAAACCACCCACCAGTCCACCGCCACCGCAATTCAACCACATATCATAAAATAAAAAAAATAATAATTCAAAAACCAAAATAAATAAGAAAAAAAGAACATACCTTGAATTTCACCAACAAAACCCCGAAATAGGCTTGAAATTGGGTTTTAAAGGTCAAATTTGACCATGAAAACTCTAGATTTAGAGTTTTCATGGTCGAATTTGACATCAAAAACCTTACTTTGTTCAAAAAATTAAAACCCTTTGAGCTTTCATGCGTGAGGTGTGATTTTGTGAGAATGAAAGAAAGGAGAAAGTAGAAAGAAGAAGAGGACGTGAGAATAGAGGAGAGGAGGACGAGAGAACAGAGAAAGGGGGAAAAGAAGACGAACAGAGAAAGGGGGAAAAGAAGAAGAACAGAGAAGAAGTAGAAGAAAGAGAAAAGTAGAGGAAAGAGAAAGAGAAGAGGAAAGAGAAAAAAGGCGGAGGAAAGAGAAAGGGGCTCCGGTAGGTTAAAGGGGATTTTTTTTTTTTATTAAATATTCCGACAGAATTTCCGTCAGAAATTTCCGACGGATTTAATATCTGTCGGAAATTTAGCTTTTCGACGGAATATTCGTCGGAAATTACAAATATTCTGACGGAATTATATTCCGTTGGAAATTTTGATTTTTCTGACGGATTTACCTGTCCGTCGGAACTGGTCCATCGGAAATAGCCTATTTTCTAGTAGTGTCATCTGACAGGTTGCGTGCAGGATCATATCTCAGTTCCTCTGAGCTATTTTTTGGGATTGCGGTGACCCGTACTCCCTCTTATTTGCTACTTTCACTGGAAAAGTATGCATAGGAGATTTTGGAGTGTGTAGGTATGGGCTCTTGTAAACATGTAGCTACTCCAGTCGACACTAAGTCCAAACTTAGTGCAGATGCAGGACCACCTTTTCGGGATCCTACTTTGTATCGCAGTTTAGCAGGTGCTCTTCAGTATCTCACTTTCATCGGGCCAGATATTGCTTATGCGGTACAACATGTGTGTCTTTTTATGCATGATCCCCGGGAATCTCATTATGATGCATTGAAACGCATTCTGCGTTATATTCAAGGTACCATTGATCATGGCTTACATTTATATCCGTCTGCTTCTCATCGATTGATTACTTACACTGACGCTGACTGGGGAGGTTGTCCCGATACTCGTCGTTCCACATCGGGTTATTGCTGCTTTTTTGGGACAACCACGTTTCTTGGTCATCTAAGCGTCAATTTACTTTATCTAAATTGAGTGCAGAAGTAGAATATCGAGGCGTCGCAAGTGTTGTCTCCGAGGCTTGTTGGCTACGTAATCTTTTACTTGAGTTACATTGTCCTCTTCGATAGGCTACTATTGTTTATTGTGATAATGTCAGCGCTATCTACCTTTCTGGCAACCCGGTCCAACACCAACGCACCAAACATGTGGAGATGGATATTCATTTTGTTCGAGAAAAGGTTGCTTTGGGATAAGTTCGAGTTCTACATGTTCCTTCTAGATATTAGTTTGCGGACATTTTCACAAAAGGCCTACTACGTGACTTATTTTGGATCTTAGATCCAGTCTTAGCGTACGACTTCTTCCCGCTATGACTGCGGGGGTGTGATAGATATTATAGTTATGATAATATTTGTCGCAGATTATTAGGATAATATTTGTATATATTCTGTATCCTTATCGTACTAGGAGTACGAGTCTTGTACAACTCTATATATATTGATCAATGGTACACACTCCAGATTGATGAGTTTTCCCGAAATCCAACAGTTTTTGTGTTGATTTTTTTTGTTGCTTTTGTGTTGTTGATTTTCGGGTTGATCTCTCTTTTTTTTTTTTTTTTTTTTTTTTGGGGGGGGGGGGGGGGGGGGAGTGGGGTGGGGTTGCGGTGGTTGGTGGTTTGTGTTGTGGGTGCCGGTAGTTGTTTCACGGTGGTGGCGGTAAGTGATTTATGGTGGATGGTGGCTTATGATGGCGGTGGTTTTAGGTGGAAGGTGGTTTTGGGTTGCGGGATAGGTCGGGGCAGGGGTTTTAATTTTTTTTTTCTTTTTTTTTTATAAATTACCGATGGACAAAAGCCATCGGTAATCGAAAAATATTGATGGCTTTCAACCATCGGAAAAAAAAAAATCGATGGCTATTGCCATCGGTATTTACAAAGGTAGCGATGGTTTGTTGCCATTGGCAAAACCATTGGTATTAAATTTACCGATGGCTTTTCCATCGGTATTTTCAATTTTTCCGACGTATTGTTATCCGATGGCCAAATCTCAATGACAGTCATTGGTAAACGAGATACCGATGGTTTTTTATACTTTTACCGATGGATTTTGCCCATCGAAAAATGGCTCATTTCTAGTAGTGAATGGAGAGATTTGAAAGGAAAATTCATCATTCTTCCATCCCCTCCCTCCCCTTCCCTTCCTACTCCTTCCGTCCCCTCCCTCCCCTTCTTTTCCTTCCCCTTTCTCTATACAAACACACCGTGAGGCTCAGTTTTTTTATTTTTTTTATTTATTTTTTATTTACTATTTTTTATGCCTTTGCAAAGGAGATTATAGCTTACATCTTTTTAAATTCTTTTTCTTTCTTATTATTTCAGCCATTTGGTCAAGTTCCAGCATTTGAAGATGGAGATCTCAAGTTATTTTGTAAGATATATATGATGCACCTTAAATTAAATAGGTCATCAACATGTAATGTTTTGGTTGCAAGTGGTCTAGTGGTTGAATTGGTTAAATTCAAGTTGTGTGAAATACATACATTTAATTGTTTTTTATTATTATTTTCACGCGAATTGAATGGAATGACTTATTATTTTAATAAATTTATTTACATTCATCACGGAGTAATATATATAATGCATCCACTAAGAAAAACTAATGGATCTGCCACTAATCAGATTGAACAACTTTCAATAACATGAATTATGAACGTTGTGAACTTGTGAACTTGTGATTAATTAAGGTTATGTTATTTATGTAATTTTGATTAAAGCTTCACTAACATTAAACAGAATCAAGGCAATTACAAAATACATAGCACACACCTTCGAAGGCAAAGGAACTTCTAAGTAAAGACAAAAACCAAATGGCAAACATAGCCGTGTGGTTGGAAGTCGAGGCTCACCGATTCGATCCTATAGCCACTAAACTTATTCATGAGCTTCTTTTTACGAGCTATTTTGACAAGGAAACAGACAACGCGATTGTTGAGGAGAATGAAGCTAAGTTGGCTAAGGTCCTTGATGTTTACGAGGCATGGCTAGCAATGTCTAAGTACCTAGCTGGTGAATGTTTCACATTGGCTGATCTTGATCATATGCCTGCCCTTCAATACATAATGCGTATAAAAGTGAAGCAATTGATCGATGAACGCCCTCATGTTAGTGCTTGGTGTAAGGATATCTTGGCTAGGCCTGCTTGGGAAAAGGTTTGGGCTTTGCAAGAAAAGAGGTTGAACTAATGTTTTTAAATTATTTTAAGTTGGTGTTTTACTAATTGTGTACCCAGGTTGTGATTGTGAGTTGAAATCTATTGCATTAATAAAACTTTTTGAATTTTTTTTGTAATTTATATGTATGAATTACAAGTAATAATTTTTTATGCAAAATTAATAAAAATTGATAAATTGTACGGTATTGTATGTTTAAGCAAAAGGTACGTATGAATTAATAACTTTGTATGCAAAATTATCAAAAAGAATAACAGAGGAAGTATGTATGAAGAAAAAATAAAAAAAGTATTGTGTAATCCGTAATTATCCATTTATCATTCTCTTTCCCCTTTCTTAATAATTGTGTTAGATTATTTAGAAATGATGCAGTTGTTTATGATCTGTGATCTATAGAAATGTACCTTAAGGTAAAGGGGTAAATCTTAGCACAATCATGTATTCCACGACAATTGGCCAGGCCTTGAAAGCAATTTGTAGTTAGTTTGACTAGAATTGGTTTACATGAAGAATTGAAGACAACTTTTGAGGCCATGTATGAAAATGAAAGGGGGGAGGAGGTTGGTGGTTGTATTATTTATATACTGATTTGACAATATTTTCGTAAGTACATAAGTTATGATATGTTTTAATAATGTTATATCTGTTATTAGATGATGTAAGGTCCCGTTCTTCCCAACTTTAAAGAAGAATTTTAATAGAAAATTAATAAAGCTAATTTCACTTAAATAAAATTAAATTTTATTCGTTAAAAATAATTTTAATTTAGCAAAAATAATTAGAGTTCAGTAATTTTAGTTCAACAAAAATGAGGTGAACGGAATAGAGCATAAATGCAAATATTCAAAATATCGTCATTTTATTACATTATACTTCATTTATTTAGTCAAATATTATCTATGATTGACATTTTTTGTTGACAAACATGAGAATTTAAATGTTTTAAATACTTGGTAACAAAGTACCATAATCAACACCAAAACTTTAATAGTTCAATTCGTAAAAAGGTACAATTGTACTACGTACTGCAACAGAGGCGGGGCTACAAATGCTAACACTGAAAATGACCCGGTGTAATTTTGTTAAATTGGGCCCTAAAATCATTTATTTAAGGAAAAATATTTTACTAAATTATAAATTTTATGATAAAATTGAAGAACAGATTATTGATTAACAAGTTTTCTCTTTACTTTGTCTAAGTAAATTTCAAATATTAGGGCCCTTTAATTGTATTTTCACTTAAAAGCCCTGTGCGATCGACCACTCTGCACATGTTTAGAACCACCCCTGCAACGATCCTTTATGTTCATCCTACTCTGATTGAATGGAAAGAATAAAAAGGATTAGAGACTAGTATGTGTACTATTGTGCTAGAGTGAGAGCTATACTAGTAGTCGTGCTACCATATAAATTTTCTTAACGATTGAGAATATTCCACCTCTAGGCAATTTCGTCGAACCAAATCCCAAACACATTACATCATCACAGACGTTGTTAAGAGAGATAAGTTCAAGATCTCCACCAATTATTGTTAATTTAAAATCAAAAAATTCAAAGTAAACAAACTTATTTAATTGGAAATGATAACGAAAGTTACCTGAATTAAACTAATTCAGCTCACAGTGCTCACACTATAAATATTCTACTCAGTACAGATGAGATTTCATCAAATTAAGTAAACAACCACTTTTATAGCCAAATTCATTCATCTCTTAGGTTATTCTCTTACATTTAAGCTTAAGGCATAGCCATGGGAATCAAGGTTCATGGAATCCCTCACGGTGCTACCCTTCGTGTTTTGGCCACTCTTCATGAAAAGGAAATCGATTTCGAGTTAGTTCCCATTGACATGAAAACTGGTGCTCACAAGCAACAACCTTTTCTTTCTCTTAACGTAAGCAACCTTATCTATGTTCTCTTTCGTCCTCTATAAGAAACAATATATTTTTCTTAATGTTCGTTTATCCCCGTAGTTTAATTTGGTTGTTATATCAAAACATTACGATCTGTATGATTTTACTTAATCCATTTGACTTTAAAGCTCTTACATTTTTTTGTTAAATGAACATGTAAAATGAGAATATGGAATACATTATACAAGTATATAATTTGCACAATTTTTTATTATTTATTTATTTATTTATTTATTATTATTATTATTTTTTTTTTTTATATATAAATTTAGCCTAAAAGGTTGAATAGTCAATTAGAATAGTCTTTGTTTTGCCCTTCCAAAGGAGTTTCCAAAATTATGTTTACTTATTAATTTATGTCTTGTAATTTTAGCCATTTGGTCAAATTCCGGCACTTGAAGATGGAGATCTAAAGCTATTTGGTAAGATACTTCCTTCGTTTTAAATTTGATCACATAGTTTGATTTCGTGCACTATTTACATAATAAATGTCGGGTCTTGTTAAATTTGTCTTCTCAATTATGTTTTAAATATCTAATTTTTATTATTTTTGCTAATATATATGTAATCAATAATATATACATTAGAAAGTATGCATTGACAAACGTTTCTTAATGAAATGTGTCATCTAATATGAAACGCAGATATAAATTATATTTATTGATCCTTAACTTTTTTTGAGAACTATTGATCCTTAACTTAACTAACATCATTCAACATGAAATTTAATTAAGTGTTATTATGTGTCCGTGAGCACACGTTAAAAAATTCATTTTGTAACAAAATTTTTAATTACCTCTTATCTTTAAACAGAATCAAGGGCAATTTCAAAATACCTAGCATTCACCTATGAAGAAAATGGAACTTCCCTTTTGTACAAAGATGGAAAGAAAATGGCAGACTTAGCCGTATGGATGGAAGTCGAGGCTCACCAATTCGATCCAATAGCCACTAAACTCAACTATGAGCTAGGTTACAAGCTTTACTTGGGCATGGAAACCGACAATGCGGTTGTTGAGGAGTATGAAGCTAAGTTGGCTAAGGTCCTTGACGTTTACGAGGCACGATTAGCAACGTCAAAGTACCTAGCAGGTGATTCATTTACTTTGGCTGATCTTCATCATTTGCCTGGACTTCAATACATAATGTATAATAAAGTGAAGCGTTTGGTCGATGAACGCCCTCATGTTAGTGCTTGGTGCATGGATATCTTGGCTAGGCCTGCTTGGGGAAAGACTCGGGCCTTGCAAAATGATTTTAATTAATTTTAACTTATTATCACCACCCTCATGATTATTAGCTATGCAATGGTTCATATATATTATGTTCAATATTACATTCTATGTTACCTTTGTGTTTACTAATTGTGTACCGAGTTTGTGATCGTGAGTTAAAATTATCGTTACTAATAAAAGTATCGAGTTTGTGATCGTGAGTTGAAATTATCGTTATTAATAAAAGTATTTTGGTTTTTCGGTACATCATTTTGTGTTATAATATCAAAATAAAGAAAATCTGGTCTTACTAGAGATACTTTAAATCTTGATTATGTTATACAACTCACAAGTGTGTTGCAATTATCAGATCAAATATGAATGTATGTCATCTATAATGAAAAGAGTAATTATTATTTTAATTGAATACTATAAGACCTATAAGCTACGAAGTATGTGTTTTTTATTGACCTTCATATAACGACAAAAAAATAAGAAATAAAAAAGCTAATTCGAACCATTATTTTATATTTTTGTGCGAATTTTTACAATTACTTACACTAGTAGAATAAAGCAATTGGGCAGCCTCAAATGGGCAGTGGTTGATGAAGTTAGTCTCAAGTTTCAAGTGCATAAATCAAGTTTTATTATTATTATTTATGTGATTTGAATGACTTCTTATTTTGAAATTTGTATATACGTAGTGTTTATTAATATAGTGCATCGACTTAATTAGAGAAATTTATAGATCCGCGACTAATTAAATCAAATAACTCTCATTTATATTAACGTTGTGATCTTGTGAACTCGTGATTAAAGTTTTGTTATTTATGTAATTTTGATTAAAGCTTCACTTAACATTAAACAGAATCAAGGGCAATTACAAAATACATAGCACACACCTACGAAGGCAAAGGAACTTCTAAATAAAGACAAAAACCAAATGGCAAACATAGCCGTGTGGATGGAAGTCGAGGCTCACCGATTCGATCCTATAGCCACTAAACTCATTCATGAGCTTCTTTTTACGAGTTATTTTGACAAGGAAACAGACAACGCGATTGTTGAGGAGAATGAAGCTAAGTTGGCTAAGGTCCTTGATGTTTACGAGGCACGGCTAGCAATGTCCAAGTACCTAGCTGGTGAATGTTTCACATTGGCTGATCTTGATCATATGCCTGCCCTTCAATACATAATGCGTACAAAAGTGAAGCAATTGATCGATGAATGCCCTCATGTTAGTGCTTGGTGTAAGGATATCTTGGCTAGGCCTGCTTGGGAAAAGGTTTGGGCTTTACAAGACTTATTTCAGCAAGGAAACAGACAACGCGATTGTTGAGGAGAATGAAGCTAAGTTTGCTAAGATTCTCGACGTTTATGAAGCTCATTTGGCAACGTCGAAGTACCTAGCTGGTGATTGTTTCACATTGGCTGATCTTCATCATATGCCTGCACTTAATTGCATGATGCGTACAAAAGTGAAGCAATTGCTCGATGAACGCCCTCATATTAGTGCTTGGTGTAAGGATATCTTGGCTAGGCCTGCTTGGCAAAAAGTTTGGGCTTTGCATAAATGAGGTTGAACTAATGTATGTTCGTTCTTAAATTATTTTAATTTGGTGTTTTACTGATTGTGTACCGAGGTTGTGATTGTAAGTTGTAATCTATTGCATTAATAAAGCTATTTGGATTAATTTTTTTTTTTTTTGCAATTTATATGTAAGAAATAACAATTTTAATGCAAAATCATTAACGTACAATTCAATAAATGATAGGGTATTGTATGCTCGACGGAAGGTATGCATGAATTAAATTTTTTTATGCAAAGTTTTTAAAAAAGATTAATAAACAAAAGATGTATGTAGGGACCAAAAAAAAAAAAAAAAAAAAAAAAAAAAAAAAAACAATACTGTGGATTTGTGGGTGGTGATGCAATAGTTCGTAAAAAGGAAGAAAAAAAAAAGAATGTAATCCATTTCTTCAATATATATATATATATATATATATAAAATTGTAATCCATAATTGTACGTTTACTATCATTCTCTTTCCCCTTCTTAATAATTGTGTTAGATCCTTTAAAAATGTTGCAATAATTTACAGGAATGTGCCCTAAGGTATGTAATATTAAAGAATAAATCCTAGCACAATTATGTAAACCACTACTATAGGCCAAGCCATGAAAGCAATTTGCGTTGTAGTTAACTTGAAAATTTTTTTTTTTCCTTTTTTTACGTGGTAAGATTAATCGGGCCCCAACCGAAGGCTCCTATTACAAGATACCTAGCTGGGAATGCCCTAGAGGGTAGGGGGTAGGATTTGTCGCTGGTGAGGATTGAAACTCGCACCTCAAGAATAGGCGACCTCTTGTGCCACTGGACCAAGAGGTCTCCCTCTAGTTGTTAACTTGAATTTGGTTTGCATGATGTATGAAAATGAAAGAGGGAAGGGAGAGGGGGTTGATGGAATGGTGGTTGTATTATTTATATATTACATTTGACAATATTTTTCTAAGTACGTAATTTATGAAACGTTTTTATGTTACACAAACTATTAGGTAAAGGTGGGCACCGTGTCAGGCCGTGCCGCCGCGGGCCACTGTGCCTGAGAAGTCGTGCTGTGCCGTGCCGCCCAAAGTCACAGGCCTGCCCACGGCACGGCACGGCCCACGTGCCACTCGGGCTCGTGCCGTGTTGGCCTGCGTGCTGGCCTGCTGGGCTGGCACGCTGCTCGCTTGGCGGGCTGGCCTGCTGCCTTCCTCCTTCTTTATATATATATATATATATATATATATATATATATATATATATATATATATATATAATGTATTTATCTATTAATAGTTTATAACTTATAATCTTATATTATTATTTTCTAAAATAAATTAAGTGTAATATTTATGTTTTATTATTTTTTATATTTATTATTTTGTTTATATATTTTGTTTATACTATTACTTTATAGGTTAATGTTTATAATTTATTACATTTATTTTTGTATTATTAATTATTATAATTTTATTTTTGTTATATTAAATTACGAATTATAACTTAACGAAAAAAGAGCAAATTGGACTTTGGATGTTAATAATGCATACTTCATATTATTATTACTTGAAAAAATTGTACAATGATAATAATGATAAAAATCGTACAAGGGTATTAAGCAAAAATTGGATAATGATAAAGATCGTAAAATGATAATATTGATAATGATAAAAATCGTACAATATACAATAATTATCTATTTTTTTTCTTCTTCTTCTTGTGCATCTTCGTCTTCGTCTTCGTCTTCGTTTTCAAGGTCATCGGCTAGTTGCATAGATTGGGAACTAGCCGAACCCGAACGGTCGGAAGCGAAGGTTCCTTCATCGTTGTTGTCGTCGTAAGAACGGTCTTGGGACCGATTTTCCGCATCCAACCAATCTTTGAAACACACGCACATTTCAAGTGTTTCGGGTTTTAGACTTGTTCTTCTATCGTCTAAAACCCTTACGGATGCGCTGAAAGCTCGTTCGGAGGCAACAGACGAGACTTGGATAGCAAGAATGTCTCGTGCCATTGCCGCCAAAGTTCGATGCTTCATGCTTTGTTGTTTCCACCATGCAAGGAGGTCGAGGTTGTTTATCTCATCGTCGTCCATGCCCTTGGTGAAGTCGTAACTCAGGTACATTTGCAACTCCGAGACATCGCTTTGCGTTCTCCTTATTGACGAATCACCTGAAAACCTTGAAATCAAGTTAGTAGCTTGTGAAAATAAATGTTTGGCCTTCTTACTTACGTTTTTGGATGGTTGGTAAGGCCCTGAGCGAGGAACGGTGCCATATTTGTCTTCATAGACTCTATATAAAGCAAAAAACTGATCCTTCACATTAGTCTTATAGTTTTCTACATCATCGTCAAGAAGCATGCATTGAAAGTAAATGTCAACTAACATAAATGTGTTTTCATACTTTTGCCTAGGATCTAATATGGAAGCAAAAATATAAATCAAAGGAGTTTCACTATAATATTTACGCCACTTTGTTTCCATTGCTTGAAGATACTGATCATAATCACTTTGGTTGCAATGATCAACGAAAAGTTGGGCAAGTAAACATGCATTTGAAAGAAAGTTTTGAGCACAAGGATTATAAACAAAAGAAAAACAATACGTCATGTTATATAATAACTGTAAAAATTGCATATATCGTTCACATTTAGCCCAATCATCCTCATATATAACATTGTTTGGAAATTTTTGGTTGTAAAACATTGTCAACGGATTCTTGTACTCAATTGCGTTGGTTAACATGTCATAGGTGGAATTCCACCTAGTTGGGCAATCGGTTCTGATTTTTATTGCCCTTATCTTTTGTTGTCTTAGAAAACTCTTCCATTCTAGGTATCTCATGTTTGAGCTATTAATAGACATAATAGCTACTCTAATTTTGTTATAGTATGGACCCATTACTCTAAGTCCATCCCGTACACACAAGTTAAGAACATGTCAAACACATCTAGTATGAAGTGCATCACCATCTAATATTACATCGGTCAAGTTTTGTTTGACATAATTAGCAGTATATGTCATTGCGGTTGCATTGTCAAATGTCATAGACATCATCTTATCTCGAAGGTTGTATTCATTTATTGCTTGCATTAAATGGTGAGAAATGTTAACACCGGTTGGGGGTATTCCAGCATTTTGAAATGGATTATTCGTTTTTGTAACAACCATTATTGATCATCTACCCAATGGCAAGTCACACATAAATAGTGATATTTATAACCACTATCCCAAGAATCGGCAGTCAAAGACACTCACAGTTAAGGTTACTCAATTCGGCTTGTAACCGCATTTTGTACTCTAGGAAGTTTTTCATGGCTGCGGAACGAACGGTTTTCCTAGAGATTCTTTTATGTTGGGGTTGTAATGCTTTGTTAATGTAAGTGTTAAATGGGTCACTTTCGAAAAAAAGAAAAGGTTGTTCGGCGTGTACTATCATTTTCCCTAGTTCATCCCTATCCCTCTCATAGTTATAGGTAAAGCCGTGTGGATGAAATTGGGAAATTTTTGGCTGGGTTGGATCACTAGCTGGTTTTGCACAACTTTTCATGTGTCTACCTAAGTGTCCCGTCCCCGATGTGGATTTTGCGGAGAATGAATGACCACATGTTTTACATTTTGCTCTTGTGTGGTCTCTACTTAGGAGGAAATAACGCCATACCTCACTTTTGCGGCTTTTGACAAGTACCATCTCACTCTCCGTTAACCATTCCTCATGTGTGTGTGGGAATTGGGTGTTTGTAGAATCGAGGGTTGGTTGGTTAGTAGTAGAACCAGAGACATTTAGGGTTTGTTGGCTACCTTGGCTAGAATAAAAATTTTGTTGGTCAAAGTAATTTGGTGGGAATTGACCGAATTGTGGAAATTGGTTTGGTGGTGGAAATTGTGGAAATCCGGGCATATTGTAGGGTTGAAAACCGGAAGTACCATCGTGCCTAAATTGTTCAAAGCCTTGGGGGATGTTACCGGGGTCATTGGTTGGAATGGTCGGATTCGGAATTTGGGGGCTCGTTGGATTAGGTGATTCTCTATAACTACTACCACGGGTAAGTCGGCCCTTCCCCCTAGATGATTGGTTGTTCGATGCCGTAATTAACAATAATAATTAACAATAATAATAATAATTAATAACAACAATTTTAACAATAATAATAACAATAATAATAATTAATAACAACAATTATAATAATAACATTATAACAATAACAATAATAATAATTAATAACAATAATTGTAATAATAAAAATAACAACAATAATATTTAATAACAACAATTTTAACAATAATAATAACAATAATAATAATAATAATTAATAACAACAAATATAATAATAACAATAACAACAATAATAAATTGAAGATTAGTTTAGATCTTACAACCGTGCTTCAACGCTTTCCACTAATTACGATTACGAACTTTTAATTTTTTCCGATATTAAGAAATAATATTTAGAGAATTTAAGAGAATTATTAGAGAATATAAGAGATTAAGGATTATTAGAGAAATAAGAGATTAAGAGAGGAAGATTGTGAATTTGTGATTTGGGAAGTGAATGGAATTGGGCATTTATAGGGAATTTGGGAAGAAATGGGGGAAAAAGAGTCGTTTATGGCCGTTGGAGCAACGGAAAAAATGGCAAAAAGAGTCGTTTTTTACCGTTGCAGGCGGGCCGTGCCTTCGTGCCGTGCCACGGGCCATCACGACGGGCTTGAAGCGGGCTTGTGCCAAAAAATCAGATCGGTGTCTGCGGCACGCCCAAGGCCCATGGCTGGGCCTGCAGCGGGCTCGTGCCGGGCCGTGCACGTGCCGCTCGCGGGCCCACCCGACCCGTGCCCACCTTTACTATTAGGTGTGGCACTTTGCACTCAACAATTCGTGCGGCGAGAAAGTAGCGACATCGGCACTCCATCCTTCCACCACCTACAAAATCAAACACATTTAACCACAATCCAGATCTATATCCCCTAAATCCCCAAATAATACTAAGAAAAAACGAAATCCTCTAAATCAAAACAAATCACAAACTAAAACAAATAAATCCCCAAAAACGAAAGACAAGGGTTTCGATTTGCGTAGGCTTAAACGACGGCGACCTGGTGGTTGGTAATTCGGTGGTTAGTGATTTGCGGATCTAGAATTGAGATGGAACTTTGTGCGAAGTTCGAGATTCTGAGTGAAGGAAGTTGATGAAATCGCCATAGAAGAAGCTTGAAAATTGAGTTGAGGTCGATTATGGAGGGTTTGAGGAAGTTGGTGGGTGCGGTAGGTTCGGTGGACGGTGGGATCGGTGGGGTGGCGTGGGTTCAGTGGTTCGGTGGACAGGGGAGTTAATGGGTGGAGCAAGGGAGGTGTGGCTGCTTGGGTTAGTGAGGTGGTAAGTAGGGGTTAAGGTGGCAATGGAATGTGGGCTTGCAAAAGGGGGAAAGAGGAGAGAGAAAGAAAGAGAGGAAGAGGGGGAAAGAGGAGAGAAAATCAAATAAAAATACATTGTATGTTGACATGTTGTTAATCATATTAGATAACAAATGACGCATATAAGTCAATAAAAGTTACATATCAGCCAATTGATGTCTGATATCAGTCAACATTAGAGACATATCAGACATTAATAAAAACGTATATATCACCCATCAAAAGAAATATATCAGCCAACAAAAGACACATATCAGCCAACAAGAGGAATATATCAGCCAACAAAAGGTACTTAATTATCAGCCAACAGAAGGAACATATCAGCCAACAAATGAAGCATATCAGCCAACAAAAGGATGAAATCGGCAAACAAAAGCCACAGGTAAGCCAACAAAATAAACATATCAGCCAACAAAATGAAATATATAAGCCAACAATTAAAATATACATATCAGCCAACAAAATAAAGATATCAGCCAACTAAAGAAACATATTAGCCAAATGATGTCTGATAGCAGCCAACAAAAGAAACATATCAAAAATTAAAAAATAAAATAAATAAAATAAATAAAATATCAGCCAACAAAAGGAATATACTAGCCAACACAAATACTATATCAGCCAACACATGAAACATATAAGCCAATACATGAAACACATAAAACATATCAGCCAACACATGAAACATATCAATCAAACCTGCTGCATCAAATTTTCATGCAGCAGTCCGCACTCAATACCTTCTCTTTATGTTATATGTGTTATTAGACGATGTAAACAATGTATATATTTAAAATATCGTCATTTTATATGAAAATTTTATAGTGATCGTTTATTATCTATGGTTCACGTTATCGATTGTCAAACATGAAAATTTAATTTGCACATGAGACGCAACACCAAAATATTAGTACTTTGTAAAATGGTACAAGCTAAGTGTACTACGTTTTCTCTATCCTCCATTATATTCATCCCACTTTGATTAAATTTTTCCTCACAAAAAGACTTCAAATAGTAAGAATAAAAAGGATTAGATCGAGACTAGTATATATACTAGACTGCTAGAGTAAGTGCTATACTTTTTTTTTTTTTTTTTTTTTTTTGACAAAAGCATATTATAATGATAAATCAGAGTTTACAGCATACGAAATAAAAACTAAAACTTACTACTACATGGCTTTTAACATTTAAGCCTTTCCAACTTTCGACACTAAACACCAAAATACATAACTGAAGCTGGCCAGAAAAGTTGCGAAACATGACCTCTTTACAGGCCAAAGAGCGGATACCTACTTCAAAACATAAAGAGAGCAGAGAGTATCGAAACTGTTTGATCATGGCTAGTTTAACCTTCCCTAGTGGGATCAACTTATCACCACGTAGGGCCTTCAAACCGATCACATGGACACATGACCTTTCATTCATAAGCTATTCTTGTTGGCAAGAAAGCTTTGACAACGTCGAGGCTCGAGAAACCCCAGAAAAAAGTTTGGGCGCCTGCTTCGGATAGAAAAAATTAAGAGTAATGATCACGATGATCACTCCAATGAAAGAAGCAGAATGACAACCATAGTCATTCCACCATAAAACACACCACACCCTAGCCATGGCCAACTTCTTGTTCATCCCCCAAACAACGGCAACCCAAGTTACCTCTCTCAACACAACAACAAAACCAAATCCCTTGACAAAGTATCCAAGCTCCCTCCTCACACAACCATCCAATAAACTATAGCCAAAACAACCAGAAAAACAGGACAATAACCAAGAAAGGCTAAAATAAACCATACATAATTTTAAGAAATAAAGTAAACTCTGAAAACAAGAAGAAAAAACATACTTAAGTAAGACGACCAAATCAGAGAGCCCCTCTCGGACCCAAATCCGAAACCATAATAGAAAAGAATCTCAAAACCCTAACCCTAATTTCACCGTTTCCGTCATGAACCACTCCTGACGGTGGCGTTAGGCCTAGCCCTCCAGCGCAAGGATCCATGAAACCCTAACCCTAACTTTACGTTTCCGTCACAGTCAAAATTACCAATGACCTTTATGACGGCGGCGTTAGGCTTAGTCCTTAGACCTCTTGTTTCGCCGGCGAAATCCTTTGACCGTGAACCTCCCTCTCAGAGGTGGGTAATAAGGGGCTACTCTAAAACGTCTTAGCCGTGGAAAGGGTCACAACAACACCTTCAAGACTGCGATTAAAAGGGGATAAGAGAAGAAAAGAGGGTGACGGCTGAGAAGAGAAGAAGGAGAAGAAGAGGAGGGCGGAGCCTCGCCTGCGATCTTCACCGATTAGAGGAAAGGGAAGCAGGTAGGGGAGGGCGGAGACTCGCCGGCTTAGAGGGAGCGAAAAAGGAGGAAACTCGCCGGAGAAACGGTTGCGGCGCCGGATCTCCGGCGAGCACCTAGGTTTGCGGGGAGGTGGTTCTTCTGTTAGAGGAGAGAGAAGAGAGCGTTTAGGAGTTTTAGCTTGAAAGTTGTAAGTGCTATACTAGTAGTCGTGCTACCATAACAATGGAAAATTGTTCCGGGTGAGTTCTACTAACTTGTATTTGGATCAGTATTAGTTTATCGTTTAACAAAATATTTGCACAGTCAACGTAGATTGACTGCCCTCGGGGTTTGTTTGAGAATAATCGCTTTGATGTTAAAGTCAGTAAATAGACGATGAGAGCTTAAAGGTGATTTAAGATCGAGTGTTTTAGTTAAGAAAATCATACCTTGGAACTGAAATGTGTAAAGGTAAATCCTCAAGATGGTGCCACGTGTCAATCTATGTGGTTGTGCTTTGTCAAGTGGGCGATGAATGTTCACGTGGTTGAAAGAAAATCTTCATGTGAATGGCAAAATAGGTTGAAATGGGTAACAAACCGGTATAAAGTTATCCAAATATAAAGATCCGATTAAATTAATTTGATCCTTATCGGCGCCGGTATCATCTCGTACAACAATGTTATGCCTCTAGACAATATGGTGGAACCAAATCCCAAACACGATAAAACATTACATCATCAATGACGTAGTTAAGGGAGATAAGTTCAAGATCTAGACCAATTATTGTAAATATAAAATAAAAAAATTCAAAGTAAAAAAACTTATTTAATTGGAAATGATAACGAAAGTTATCTTAGTGGGACTAATTAAGCTCGATCACACTATAAATATTCTACTTAGTATAGATGAGATTGTTAACAACCACTTTTATAGCCAACTTCATTCATCTCTTTGAGTATTCTCTTACATTTAAGTTTAAAGGCATAGACATGGGAATCAAGGTTCATGGAATCCCTCACGGTGCCACCCTTCGTGTTTTGGCCACTCTTCATGAAAAGGAAATCGATTTCGAGTTAGTTCCCATCGACATGAAATCCGGTGCTCACAAGCAACAACCTTTTCTTTCTCTTAACGTAAGCAGCTTATCGATGTTCCCTTTCGTCTTTACAAAGGAGTTTTCTAATTCATTCTTATTAATTCTTTTATTTTGTGTTGTAACTTTAGCCTTTTGGTCAAGTTCCGGCATTTGAAGATGGAGATCTCAAGTTATTTGGTAAGATATAAATATGTTGATCCTTAACTAAACAAACATTGTCATTCCCCATGAAATTTAAGTACTATTTTGTTAGATAATATAAACTCCTGAATTTGAGTGATTTTCATTGATTAATATTTATAGGGTTGCATTGAGAGTCCTAATATATCATAAAGATAACCCATACAAAATATATCATAAACATAGAAGGAGAATATTTTACGGATATTCTCTATCATAATCTATGTCCATGAACAAACATTAGAAAATTCATTTTGTAATAAAATATTTACTTACCTATGTTTAAACAGAATCGAGGGCAATTTCAAAATACATAGCATTCAACTATGGAAATGGAACTCCTCTTTTTTCAAACAAAGATGGAAAGCAAATCGCTGACTTATCCGTATGGATGGAAGTCGAGGCTCACCAATTCGATCCAGTAGCCACTAAACTCAACTATGAGCTAGGTTATAAGCTTTACTTGGGCATGGAAACTGACAACGCGGTTGTTGAGGAGTACGAAGCTAAGTTGGCCAAGGTCCTTGACATTTACGAGGCCCGATTAGCAACGTCAAAGTACCTAGCCGGTGATTCATTTACTTTGGCTGATCTTTATCATTTGCCTGCACTTCAATATATGATGCTTAATAAAATGAAGCAATTGGTTGATGAACGCCCTCATGTTAGTGCTTGGTGCAAGGATATCTTGGCTAGGCCTGCTTGGGGAAAGGCTTGGGCCTTGCAAAATGATTTTAATTAATTTGAACTTATTATTACAACCCTCATCATTATTAGCTTTGTAATGGTTGTTTGTATTATGTCTAATCATGTATTCATTTACTATGTTATGTTGGCGTTTTACTACTTGTGTATCGAGTTTGTGATTGTGAGTTAGAAATTTATCGTTAGTAATAAAAGTTTATATTGGAAATACATCACATCATTGTTGTGTTATAATATCATAATACATTATGCGGTTATGCCTGGTCTCACTAGCGATATTATAAACCTTGATTCACTTACAACTTACATGTATATTTTAATTATCATACATGAACCTAAATCGTCTATAATAAATAAGAGTAATTATTATTGTAATTGAATAATATATAACATAAGCTATGTGTCTTTCATTGACTTCTCATATATATAGCGACTAAAATTAAGAAATGAAAAAATTAATTCGAGCCAATAACCATTATTTTGTTTTTGTGCAAGCTTTTACTATTACTTAAACGAAAAATAGTGAGTCAAGTCGTGCACTTCTTTAGTTGTTAGTTTGTTACCACTTGTTTTGCAGTCCTAATATACTAGAAAGAGTAGAAACATTAATTAAGTGGAAGAAAATGACAAGTAGCTTAGCTTGTCCAATTAAATGTTCAAGCTCAACCCAAAGTTGTTGAAAATGACGGTGGTGGTGAAAAAAATATTTCTTTAATCAATCTGATAGAATATATAATAAGATATTTTGTATTTAGGATATATGTGATATATTTTGTATAATAATCTATGGAGTAATCCCAACACGGTTGGTACTCATATTATAACCCTATATATATTGATCAATGGAAATCATTCCAGACAGAGGAGTTCACAAAATCTAACACAATCAACTAATCCATCAACAAATAAAATAACACACTATTCAATTAATTATGTACTACAATAATATTGCAAACCTTTAAAACAATTAGAACTAATTTTCTAAGGTAACTATTTTTCGGCCTTTTTAGTATTAATAAAATTTTGAATTTTTGTACAAGTTATCTTCGGATTTAACCAAGCTAGCGACGTTTTAGTAATTTGACTAATGTATTATGACAAATTGAGGGAGAAGAATAAATAGAATGACTTGTTTATTATTGATCATTAGGTAGAGTATTTATACAAAATCTAAACTTATAAGATAGGAAACAATCTTCTTAAAATATATACTAGTCTAACCATAAATCTTAAAGATATATTCTCTAAATAATATCTTAACATAAAATAAACCTAAACATATTATTCTCTTAATGATATCTACAGAAAATATATCACACAATTTTCCGATATCTCATATCTGTAACACCCTCTTGCAATCGTAACGGCAGTAATACGAACGTTGCGATTGGAAATTCTTCACTTTGTTGAAATCGATCGAGTTTCACTACTCTGTTAATGTCGCCTTCAATTTTTTTTTTCTTGAATGATGAGAACGTTTTGCTTTTCAAACCAATCAATCATCAACCAAGCAGGAACGTCATTCTTTTCGAACCTGCAAAAATAACATTACAACGAGAATGTCTTTTCTTCTCGAACTCGTTGTATTTTGGTTTTTCCTGAGCAAACCACGCTCAAATCTCTTATTGGTTTTGTTTTAAAGCAAAACCAAAGTCATACCCGAAGAGCAAAATCATGCTCGAATCATATCACAAACCCTGTCTCATGGCACAAGGAGAACCAACACATGAACCTTGTCTCGCAGCACAAAGAGAGCCCATATATCTTATCTCATGACACAAGAGAGCTGAATTTTTTTATTTTTTTTAGGATTTTCTGTAAATTACCACCCAAAAATAGTCCAGTTTTGATATAACCACCCAAATAATTTTTTATTTTATATTACCACCCAATAAATTAAATTATTGCTCAGATTACCACCCATTTAGCAATTCCGGTGGAATTTCCGTCAGTGGGCCCCACTTTTTTTTTTCCTTTTTTTTCTGGCTTTCTCACTCTCTCTCCCCGATTTCACTCTTCTTCTTCCTACCTTCTTCCTTTCTTCTTCCCAACCACCACCCCCACCATTGCTCCCTCACCCCAATCCTCACCCCAATCTCCCCCACTTTCTCTCTCCTCCATTTTTGTATACTTCTGCAATCTGCTTCCTTGGCTGAATTTCCAATTTCACCTGGGTTAGTTTTGTCTTTTTGGTTTTTAATGGCCTACCTCTTGCTTTGCTGCCTAGTTGCCCCTTGCCCCCATTTCTCTCTTTTTCCCGCTTTTACTCCTCCTCATCCTCACATCTCCTGATTTTGCTGTGTGCGGGCTGTGAAGTAGAGAAGCAGAGCTGGGCTGCGGTGGCGTGGTTGCTGCAGCGGTGATGGTGGCTGTGATGTGCGAAATGGTGGCGATGGTGATTCAGGTTGCTGTAATGTGACGTCGCTGAAGATTCTGGGCTACTGCTGATTGTTGCAATTGGGGTGCTGATTGGTGGTAGCGGGTTGATGTGGCTGCGCGTGCCGCTGCAATTTGATGTGGTTGGGACGGTTTGTTCGCCGGGGAAGGGGATGCCGTGGTGGTTGTTGGGGTTTTTCAATTTTGTTTGCTCGAAATTGTCAACATTTTGAATAGAGAGAGAAATTGGATGTTTTAATTCAAAGTAGCAGTTGATTCACAACATCACAAGGAATCGAACAGTCGAGTAGCGATTGTTTCCATAATTTGATCGTCTTCTACGAGAATGTTCAAGCTCAATTTATGTTCCAGATTTTGTTTATTAGATCTGATTTTGATTTTGGTTGGTGTATGATTGATTTTTGGTTGTTTTTTTGATTGATTTTGATGGGGGGCGCTGAAATCGTTCCTATTGGATCGTGCGTGGCAGCTGGTATAGATGAAGAAAGGCGGCTGAGAGACGGATTAGGAAGCTTAACCCAAATGGGAATCACCTTAAGAATTTCCTTATAGAAATCAAAACTGACAGACCAACATAGGCTGACCAAAGTAATGCTGCCAGATCGAACGAGCCAATAACTCGAACGCTTTCGGTTTGTTTTTTGAGCAAGAATCGCAGCGTTACCTTACCTTCACCATGATACAGACTCCAAGTTCTTATGGCAGAGCACGAGGAGATTTTTCTGCCTAAACTCGGAACACAGATCGACCTGGATGTGTTAATCGTAGAGGTAGAATAGTGGCAAGCTGTTATCGATGTCGAAAGAGACTCGAAACTTTGAACCTCGCGTCGAGTCAGATCCATTACCGCTCCTCTGCTATTAGGCGTCGTTCGGTGCCGGTCGGATAGAACTTTCGTAGGGCTAACTGTCCTTCAGCAGGCAGCTACTAGCGCGTTGGAGACGGATTTATATAAGAAAGAAATTTCCTCGTAGTATCTCTCTAGATCTGGCAAAAGCAAAAGACCCCCTAACGTAATTCGAATGGAGGCTGACTGCTGAGCCCACTCTGGCACGGTTTTTCAGCGATGTTAAATGCTTTGGGTACGTTCGATTACGCCGCCCAACAACACGAGGAGTTATAGGCTCTATATCCTCATCCTTTAACTCGCTAGCAGAATTCTGGCTTTCCAGACTCAAATAGGCCAACTCATTTAGTATAGTAAAACTCAACATACGACGAGGTTAGTTTACTAAAGGAAGGTGACGTACTCCTTAATCGTAGAGCTTACTGGGGGGTTTCGGGGAAGACCCATGTGGGGCACATTTTGGGTGTGGGGGGATGTTGAATCGTGGGATTTTAAGAACCCTAAGTTGGGATTATTTGTTGCTTGATTTGATTTGGATTAATTTGGGGTTTTTGTTGTTCTTGCTTTGAAGTTGACGAAATGCCTAGATTTGATGTTGTTGCTTTTTTGTTGGATTGATTTGGGGTTTTTGTTGTTGTTGTAATGCTTTGAAGTATGAGGAATTAGAATAGCACACAGATTTGTTGACGAAAAGCACACAGATTTGTTGTTGTTGTTGATTTGTTGTTGCTTTGATTCAATGAAGAAGGTAGGAGAGAGAAAATCGGGGTGGGAGAGAGGAAATCCAGAGAATAGACGAAGAAAAAAATAAAAAAGTGGGGCCCACTGACGAAAATTCCACCAGAATTGCTAAATGGGTGGTAATCTGAACAATAATTTAAATTATTGGGTGGTAATATAAAATAAAAAATTATTTAGATATATCAAAACTGGACTATTTTTTGGGTGGTAATTTACAAAAAAATCCTTTTTTTAAAATAAAAAATCCTTTTTAAGTCAGAATCTGAACCCCGTAGTGAACATTGGGAAGCGGCGTTGAGAGTAGTGCGCTATTTAAAGGGCACTCCGGGACAGGGTATTCTTTTGAGCTCTGATTGTGACTTAAATCTGCAAGGTTGGCGTGACACAGATTCGGCCACCTATCCTCTTACACGGAGGTCTTTGTCTGGGTGGCTAGTGTTTCTTGGCAAGTCACCTATTTCATAGAAAACTAAAAAGCAGCACATAGTGTCAACATCATCGGTAGAAGCCGAATACAGGTTCATGGCGGCTATTACTTGTGAACTTGAATGGTTAAAAGCTCTACTGTTGAGTCTAGGTGTTCAAAATCCGAAGGCAATTAAATTATTTTGTGATAGTGAGTCAACTCTGCACATAGCTAAGAAGCCGGTTTTTCATGAACTATCGAAGCACATTGAAGTCGATTGTCACTTTGTTCGAGATGCAATTACTGAAGGCTTGATCTCTCCCTCTCATGTTCCAACCAACTCACAGCTCGCAGATATCTTCACCAAGGCTCTCGGCAAATCTCAGTTTGATTATCTTCTTTCCAAGTTGGGCGTTTCCAATCCTCACGCTCCAGCTTGAGGGGGGTAATGAGATATCATATAATATATTTTTGTGAGGATATCTTTTGGCAAATATTATCTATTGTATTTTAGTTAACTTCCTAGGGTACTAGCATATCTTTTGATTCTATTGTTAGGATGTGTAACTATTATATATTTGACATTATGGTCAATGAAAAATTCAAGCCATTCAATTCTAAAAAAAATGTTCATGAATTCCACCAATGGGTTTAATTTTCTAACCCACCGGTAGGGATTTTTTTTTAAACGCTCCTAAAATCTAACCTGCTCTGATACAATGACAAATTGAGGGAGAAAAGTAAATAGAATGACTTGTTTATTATTGATCATTAGGTAGAATATTTATACAAAACCTAAGCTATACTAGTTTAAAAGATATACTAGTCTAAGCATAAATCTTAAAGATATATTCTCTAAATAATATCTCAACATAAAATCAACCTAAACATATTAATCTCTTAATGATATCTACGGAAAATATATCACACATATATTTTCCGATATCTCATATCTGTAACATATTATGCTAAAGATTAATAAAACTCTTAATAACAGTTTTAATGATTGATATTACTTTGCGGTTCTATTCTTAATCTATTAAATAAAATTCAATTTTCGTCCGAAGACCCGATGCCATTGCTTATGACCTTATGTGGTGCAATGTTGTGTTACAAATGAGCATAAAAGTTAGGATATTTTGGATTTTAACACCAGACAAAAGGCTGAAAATGGTTTTTAACACCTCCAAAAAAAAATTGTTTTAACACCACATAAAAAATTAAAAATTTGAAGTTTCCACAAAAATCTTGTATCCGTTAACGGAACTGTTACTGGGGCCCACTCTAACGGATAATTTTTTTAAATCTCTCCCCAATTATCCCCTTTTGTAACCAAATCTTTGTTCGAATTTAGTAGAATCAGATCGCATTGCATCCAAAAAAACCAAAATTACTGAAGCATTGTTTGATTTTTGAGAAGAGGAAGAGATTGAAGCTGCTGAAACAGGTATGTGTGTTCATACGATGACAACGAATTATGTGTAATCAAATTGGGGAAATATAGTTCGTTGTTTGGTAATTATGGTTTAAATTCATTACGTTTATTATTTACAATTGTTTTGTACTCGAATTGATGGTTTAATTATGTTATGTATGCATGTAACTGCCCAATTCCAAAATTAGGGTTCATCACAAATTGAAATTGGGGCTTTTTGTATTAGGTAATTAAAATTGAAAATTGTTGCTGACAATGTTAATTCGTTAGTGTACAAATCTGTAAATGTGATTGTTGATCTAAAATTTATGTAGATTATGTCGTTTATTAGCTCTTCCCTTTCTAAGGAAAGAAAATTCCAGTGTGGTGTGCCAATGGTCAAGCTCACTAGCTGGACAAGGGAGAATCCAGGCAGGAAGTTCATATCTTGTAAGTTTTATGACCCAATCACAGAAACTAGGGGCTGCAAAGCTTTCGAATGGGTTGATCAACCTGATGGAACATATTGGCAAACAGGGGTTATCAATATCCTAATTGGATAAGAAGTTGCTAAAGGGCGAAGTTAATGAATTAAAAAGGGAAGTTGATGAAATAAGTGGCCAAAGGAGGTGCCTACTTCATGAAGTTGATATTTTGAAGATGAGATGCAAGGCCTTGAACGCTGACAGGAAGAGAATGAACAGAGAGTGCAATGTAGGGAAGATGCTTCAATCAAATGTTTTGGTTGGGTGGGCATGACCATTTTTATTGGTTTATCAATGGGTGTAGTTTTCCTAATGGTTAGGGGTGTTTAATAGTAAGCTGTATTAAGTAGTTATAATTTCTTGTAATGACTTGAAGTGTTATGAGTTTGGTTTTAGTGATATATATATGTATTTCAATCAACCTATTTATGACTTGTCTAAATTGTTAAATTGAGAATGTTTTAACATTGGAAAAGGATTCAAACATGGGAAATATGTGAAACACTTGCATGTATTAAAGTTGTAGAAAATGGAATTAAGCACTTCAACTATAGGTTGACAAAAGAAGCTTACTTGAAACTGTTTTAATGGCAATCAAAGCCATGCAAAAGCTATAATAATGTATCCAAATGTGCAAATGGCAATCAAAGCCATAGAAAAACTACCAAAATAGATTAAACAGACACAATGTTTTCTAAGCAGTCATGAGTACATCACTGAGTGAGGTTTAACTAGCTGAAGGTTTGCAGCTTGGACCTTGTTACAACACCAGTTTGGAGGGGTGGTTGTTGAACTGTGGGTGTTACAGGCTGAGTTGAGGAAGCCTTTGTCTTTGTTTTTGGTTGACTTGAGCTAGGCTAACTTGAGTTTAGCTGCCTTGACTATAACTGTGCTTGCTTGTTTAATGGCAGACAACCTTCTTGTTCTTGAGAAACTTTTTGTTTTCTATGTTGTTTGTTCCTGCCCCCAATTGCACTCTATGACATGGATTTAAAAATAAAAAGTTAGTGGAATAACATACATAAAGGTAAAACAAAGGGGGAGTTGTGTTACCTTTTTTGCAGCTCTATTTCTTTCTTCTTCCTCTCCTCCACCATCCAAGGGAGTGTTCAAGGGGGGTCTGCCTGCTAACTTTGTCACATCTGTATCTGGTGCAGCAGGTAGTTTGCAGGTCTTGGCATAATGCCCAAATCCCTTACAGTGACTGCATTGCTTCTTCCGCAATGTTGTGCTTGGTTGACCACCTGCAATAGAGCATTCTCCTGGCTCAAGCTTCCTTTTTTTGCTCTTTGGTCTCCCAGGTTGCACCTTAAAAGAAGGAGGTTGTGGTTCCCTCATTTTGACTCTCTCCTAGTGCTTGGGACCAGGCATTGGTTGGATAACTGGTTCATAAGTAGCCCTGTATGTGTCCATGGTATAGTATGGGTCAACATATGCCTCTATGTCACCCCTCATGTCCAATATGCATGCATAAGCATGAACACAAGGAATGCTAGTGAGTTCCCAATGGTAACATGTGTAGGTCTCTTTCTTTAAATCAACCAACACCTGGTCATCCTTCAGCTGCACCTCAAATGTATTCCCTCTTGATGGTTGCACCACACAGGACCTAGCCACAAAGTCTATCCTTCCCAGAACATTCCTCACATATGGCACTAAGTTGCTTGTAATTTTTTTTGAATCCTCCTACTTTTCATTATTCCTATTCATTATGTACCTCCTCATCCATTCCATTTGGGTGAGGATAGGTTTATCTCTGGTAGGCTTAATTACTGCATTGAAAGTCTCATAAATGTTGTTCAATAGCATGTTGGACTTGCACTTTGGTGTAAATGCATGTCTACACCAATGAATGGTGGGAATGTTGAGTAAATACTCATATGCCTCTTCATCAAGGAGTTTGATAGACTCCATGGCAATTTCGTACTCAAACTGACAATATGCAATGACATACTAGTTCAGGACAACATGTATAAAAGCATATAAAAGCATATAAAAGATCAAGACAATTAAGCATATAAAAGCATACTAATATTCAGAACAATGAAGCATAAGTTAGCTCCTTGAAGCAAACCAACTTACATAAGTGGTAGCCCTGGCTGCACTCCAAAATAGCTCCTTGAAGGTTGATCCACCAAATTTGAACTTGAAGTTAGCCCAAATATGCCTAACACAAAACCTTTGTTCTGCTTTGGGAACAACATCAACCATTGCTGTAATTAAACCCTAAATGCAGACATAAGTAAACTCATAAGCCAATCATATACATACACATGAAAACTTAAAAATTGAACCTAAATACTTAAGAGGGAAGAAACAGAAGCATACCTTTTGCCTGTCAGACATGATGGTTAGCCTAGCTCCTTGATCATGTTTAAACATTTCCATAAGTGATTCCAAGAACCAACCCCAAGTTTCTTGGTTTTCTATCTCCACTGTAGCCCAAGCTAGAGGAAATAAGTTGCTATTCCCATCCTTAGCCACTGCCACCAGAATTTGCCCAGGATAGGCACCTTTGAGGTGACACCCATCCAACCCTATTAATGGCCTACAACCTTTTGCAAAACCATCTCTAAGTGGCCTTAAACAAATGAACATTCTTATGAACAAGGGTGGCTCTGGGCTGTCAATACCATCAACAACAACATTGCACCCAGAACCAGGGTTATATTTCATCACAGCTTTCCCATAATCTCACACCCTTGCATACTGCTCCCTAGCTAAACCAAAAATGATCAGTTTTGCCCTACACCTAGCTACCCATGCCTTAAAATAAGTCACTTCAATTCCTAAATCATTCAAAACCCTAGCCCTAATCTCCTTAATTCTCCAACCAGGGTTACTCCCAAACTCTTCTAAATACCTCTCTGCTATGTATTCAACATTAATCATCTTGTTCTTCTTCACTCTAAAGTAGGTATGTTTTAATTTCAAGCTTTTAATTTGCCAAGTTTGCTGCTTAACAAGTTTTGATGCAAACACCTTGAAATGACACTTTACTCCCCCCACACATGTACAAGCAGGCATTCTACAGGTGTAACTATTGAACTCACTATCACATCTATGCCTACACTGAATTGTAATCCTTGTACTGTCATTATGCAAGAAGTAGAACTCATACTTGTTTTGAATGGCATGAAGTCTTAAGGCCCTCCTTAAGACTGAAGCATTACTGAATTTCTGACTTAACTTCAATGGGATTGGGTTGTCAAATTCCACAGCAGCATTAAACCATGGAGCACAAACTCCTTGAATCATCTGAATCACCATCAGTCTCAGGCTCCACCTTCAGTTTTCCAACATCCAAGTCATCCCTCAACTTTGACCTCTTATCTTTAACAACCCCCTCATCTATTTCACTCCCCAAACCTTTCCTTAAGGCTTTTGTTCACCTTGTCCAAGATCTCCTTAGACCCTTCAATATACCATTCCTCATCCCCTTCATCATATTCTTCTTCACCAAGTTCCCAATCCTGCTCCTCATCACTCAAATCTGAACTTGAATACCCAGATCCTTCACCTCTATCATCCTCCTCATCATCAAACCTCAATACTTTAGCCTTTGTTGAGGCTTTCCCTTTCAACTTAGCCTTTTCATTTGCAAAACTAGAAGCTCCTACTTCTACAACCTTCTCTTTCCCTTTCTTTATGACATATATCTCCCTAGGTGGACTCTCCTCCCTTTGTTCAGTTTTTGTCTTCTTAAACCTAGAGCTCCTCCTAACACTCATAGTAATTGAACTTCCTACCTTCTTGCCCTTTTTATTTGTCTTTGGTGGATTGGGTTGGGCCTCCTTTATGGGCTGACTAGGTACTTGTGCTGTTACAAAGACTTCAACATACCCCTCTGCATTTACTGCCTCAAAAGGCCCTTAACTTCTTCACTGTTAACTAGTTCCCTTTTCCCAGTGTTAAAGGCTTTCCCCTTCTACCTATACCAACAGTTGTAATGCATAGGCACAACCATATCACCATTAACAAATCCATGAATTGCAGCTGTTTTAATCAAATGCACATCCAACTTAGAAACCTGAACTTTCCTGTACCAGTAACACCAACCACCACACCAACACAATAGTTGTCTGTCTTTGCTAACTCTTTTAGGGACAAAAGCACCTCCTTCTCTAAGTAAGATGTCAACCATACCATCATTGTCACCCATTATCTACCCACCAGTGAATAAACAATGTATCAATACATGCACATTATGAATAAACAAATCCATCCCAATTTTCAAACTTACACTACAAAGCACCAATTCCAACATTTATGCATAAACAATTGTAACTAAACAATTGAAACCCAATTCAGGTACTTAGTAACATAAATTAATAAACAAATCACACATGCACAGTTAATAGTAGCTTAATTAACAATAAACCACTTTAATTGATCTATAATTTCAATTACGGACGCCAATTAACCTAAGTCGCAAAGTCAATTGCAGAAAATTGATTTTTTAAGGGTTTCCTACTCTGTTGCCAAAACTGACTCTAATTTAGCCAAAAATTGCAATTTTGACACCAGTAATAGATGAAATTACTATGAAAAGATTAAAAAAAAATACCTTCTATGATGTCAGATTTCCAGCAACTTTTGCCCTTTTCTAGTTGATGAACATGAGTGACGCAACCGTGCTGAGCTATTCTTCTCCCTTCTACACTCCACTCCCGAGCCACACAATTTAGGTTAAAATGTGAAAATTCAATGTGAAAATGTAAAATGTGAAAATTCAATGTGAAAATCTTGAAGATTTAGAAAGAATTCAATGAAGATGTTGGTGAGAATTCAATGAATGAAGAAGGTACGTGTTTTGCTGGGTAAAAATTAAAGGTAAAACCAACTCCTGGGACCCACGTCAATTTTCCGTCACAAAAAACGTTAACTGGTTGTAACTTCAAATTCTTAATTTTTTATGTGGTGTTAAAAAAAAAAAAAATTTTTTGGAAGGTGTTAAAAACCATTTTCAACCTTTTGTCTGGTGTTAAAAACTAAAATATCCTAAAAGTTAAGTTCCTATGACATTTAATTAACCATTTATGCCTTATTAATAATGTATTAGTTTTAATATAAGTATAAATAAGGTACTCATAATTAAATTTTAAGAATGTTAAAAAATGCAAAATCTTAATGATTTTACCAAAACTAATTTATTCTATTACTCAGAAAAAAAAAATAGTCTTTTTTTTGTATTTGTTGTTGAAAGTAATAATAGATTAAGAACATAGTATTTTCTATGACTGAAGGTAAATTACTAAATTCCATAAAAATAAAATATATATATATATATATATATATATATATATATATATATATATATATATATATATATATAAAACCTTAAATTACTAAATCCATTAATATTTAGTAAAAAAAATGTCTTGGACCAAGCGACAAACTAATAAGCGTACGAAATTACATGTTATATTTATGTGTATGTCGAATATGGTCCCACATAATTACATAATAAAAGACCATAGATGAAGGTTTGCAAGAGTAGCATGCACTACTTCACTACATCGGCGAAGACTACTCAATCATATCTTCTCCTATCTTTCTCTCTCCTTTGACTGGCTCGATAAAAGTCAAACAGATTAGCCTAAGCCATGGTGGTCAAGGTTCATGGAAGCCCACTCTCCGACCCGACCCGACCCTCCGAGTCGTGGCTGCCGCTCATGAAAAGGAGCTTGACTTTGAATTCGTTACCGTTGACTTTGAATCTGGTGCTCACAAACAAGTCCCTCAGCTTGCCCTTAACTTAAGTTTATTTATCATTTATAATCTTTGCATTGGTCATTGATTTTGGATTCTTTGCTATAAATAATAAATTGTTGTATTAGAAAAGAAGTATTTTTATTTTTTTTTGGATTTTTTTAACATGAGTGGACAAATCTTTGCCCGGTTTTTCAAGAATGGACTGACCTTTAAATCTTTCCATTTTGGACAGAAGTTTGCATTTTTTCTCCCAAAATGGACCAAACAAGTCACCCAACCTGTTATATCAGTTAAAACGCCACTTGTGATTTTATCATTGGTCAAGTATTTTTTTTTTTTTTTTCAATTTCCCTTTCCTCCTAATCCCTTTTCCCTTTCCCTCAAGCCATGTATTAGTATATCCATCTTTAACACGCCGAGTGCCCACCAGCAGAGTGGCCTGAAGTCTGCAACCCAGTAGACACTGAGTTAGCTACAACGCCAACCCGGCCCCGATCCGGCGATCTTCTCCACACTCTTCCTCTTCACCATCCTCTCTACATTTCTGTCTAACATCTGAGTTCATTTTGACAGAAAAAATTATCCTATTTTCTAGTTGACCAGCAATAAGTAAACTATCACAAATTCATAATCAATGCCATTCAGAGCCAAAATTCAATTGTAGCATGATTCAAATTCATCACCATCCCCAACACCATTGGTACATCAATATTGACATTTGCATACAATTTCCGAATTAATACAATTTCAACTTTGCATTTGTTACGAAAATCATCACAAACAACCCAAATGAATTAAACAGCTTCAAATGAGCGACTAAACATACTAAATACAACAATTGGGTTATTAGAAAAGAGAAATTGGAATTATAATTTCAAATAATGGACAAACCTGCAATCTCCTGTTTAAGAAGCCGATCAGAAAAGGCCAAATGCATCAATTAGCAAAAGATTAAACAAAATTGGGAATTGGTGGTATGAGAATTTGAACTCAATTTGTTGGGAAATTCTACATTGCCCACTGGTTTCGCCGGCCATCGGAGACTGCAGTCGTTGTTGGTTTAATAATCGTAAAGCAATGGTGGAAATCAAAGAAATTTAATAAAATTTGAGAGGAGAGATGAAGCTTGAGTTGGTTCATCCATGGCAGATGAGAGGGAGGAAGGTGATGGAGGAATGAGTGAGGGGATGGTCGGAAAGGGAGGAGAGGTGGAGAAGGGGGTGGTTGGCAATGGGGTGAGGGGATGTTTTTTTTTTTTTTTTTTTATAATTATTTTGTTGATTTAAAAACGAAAATTAAAGATTTTTAATTAAAAAAAAATATAATTAAAGAAAAATGACCGGTTGTACAGGTCACCGGTTATTTGGGTTCATTTTGGGAGAAAAATGTTAAACTTGTGTCTAATATGGGCAGATTTAAAGGTTAGTCCAATATGGGAGAATCGGCCAAAGGTTTGTCTGTTTATGTTAAAAAATCCTTTTATAATTAACTTTTAATTTATTATTGAATTCCATGTTCTGATAATTTTCAAATTTACTTTTGAATTCTCTTTAAAACTTGTTATTCATGTTGTGAAATTTCCAATTGAATGCTCTTATTATGTTCTTATTTTTTCCAATTGAATCTTCTTAATCATTTGAACTTAAAAAATTATAAAATGAGCGAAAATTTGAAAATGAGCAAACCTAAATATGTCCTAGAAAATTTATCATGAGAAACAAAATTGAAATGAGTAAAATAAACTTAAAATGAGAAAATACAAAAATAATTAGCAAATATAAAAACGAGCAAATGACAATGCAGTCCGAAGCAATTGACACGAGGTATTGAGAATGTTTTGTTTCTTTTAGTTCCTTTTTTATGGTTGTATTGATTGTTACTCTATTATTTTCGGTTCTTCATGTTTGGATTAGTCAAATGTTAGGATTTATTCAATACACATTCTTCAAGAGAGGGAAAAG